TTGTTCGTAGGTGGGGAAACTGAGGCATGCCCAGGTCCTGGCAGGATGGGCCAGCTAGGACCCTCAGCCCAGAGACCCTTTCCTCCCCAGACATCTCATCTGGCTCCGCAGCATGGCTGGGGGGCACTGGGGAGGGGGGCCCCACCAGGCGGCCCCCCATCTGCTCAGGGATGAGGGACAAGTCCAAGGCACACTCCGCCTCCGCGCCCCACTCGGGCCCGCAGCGCACACTCAGAGAGGCCTCCGCGCCCCACTCGGGCCCGCGGCGCACACTCAGAGAGGCCTCCGCGCCCCACTCGGGCCCGCGGCGCACACTCAGAGAGGCCTCCGCGCCCCACTCGGGCCCGCGGCGCACACTCAGAGGCCTCCGCGCCCCACTCGGGCCCGCGGCGCACACTCAGAGAGGCCTCCGCGCCCCACTCGGGCCCGCGGCGCACACTCAGAGAGGCCTCCGCGCCCCACTCGGGCCCGCGGCGCACACTCAGAGGGGACTCCGCGCCCCACTCGGGCCCGCGGCGCACACTCAGGGAGGCGAGGGCTGGGGATGCTCCCATCCGAGTCCCCTCCAGCACCGGCCTGCCCCCCTCTGGGGCCCTGAGGGCGTCCTTTCTGGGAGGGGGGGCTTCACTGGGCTCCTGGGCACTGAGGGGGAACCGCATTCATAAGGGCCCCTGTGCACCCTCCCAGTTGCCAGTGGGCCTTCCCACTTCCTAAAACGCAAACCCAAGCCTGTCCTCCAGCCAACAGCTTCCCCGTTCCCATGGCCCCAGGGTGAGGTCAAACTCCCGAGCAGCTGCGCAACCCCCACCCGGCCTCTGCTGCCCTCCTGAGCCAGGGCCCAGCCCCTGGACACCGTGGGGTGAGGGCTGATGGCCAGGAAGAGCCACCTCCCCACCGGCTCAGCCCCAGCCCCTCCCTTTCAGGGGGGACAGCATGTCCTGAGCCTCTCCTGCCTGTCCCTCGCCACCGGGGGAGTGCTCGGCCCCGCGAGGGCCCACGGCTGGGCAGGTGGAAGTTTCCTGGGCTGTGTGGCTGGCGGGGAGGGCAGAGGCCCCCGGGGGAAGGCGGGCCGCGCGGGGCATGCAGGGAACCCCGAGTGCTCCCTGGAACCCAGTGTGTCTGTGGCTCGCGGGGAGGAGGGGGTGCCCCAGTGGTTAACCGAGGGCCTTGGTGGCAGTGTGGCCGGGCCTGGCATCGGGGCGGCCAGGAGAGAAGCAGGGAGAAGCACGGGCTCCCCCCGGATCTGTCCTGCTCCATGTGCCACTTCCAGTGTGTACGCACTCAGCAGGGCCAGCGCTGGGGGACACCTGCGCCCCGCCCACTGCCCCCCCGAACGTGGCTGCCCCACTTCCAGTGTGTACGCACTCAGCAGGGCCAGCGCTGGGGGGCACCTGCACCCCGCCCGCTGCCCCCCCCCGAACGTGGCTGCCCCACTGGCACCTGGGGGCACGGCTCCCACCCTCTCCAAGTCCAGGCTTTCTGGGCGTAGCTCCCTCACAGCTCAGGGCCCCCCCTCGGAAAGGACCGCGCCGTGGAAACTGCCCCATCCGCCGGGGCCTCCTCCCATGGGCCGGGCCCAGGGCGCCGTGGACGGCGTGGCCCCAGGAGCGACTGGCGCCCAGCCAGGAGCCCGGCCTGCTGCTCGTCCGTCACGCCCACGCCAGACCCAGCAGCAGCGCCCCAGGGAGATTCTGACTCTCTCCTAGATTCCCTGGGGACTTCTGAGGAGTCCCATTTCAGTCCCCGGCAAGGACCTGGGGTGTCAGTCACGTCTTCCAGGGGCCCATGCGCTCCTCACAGACGAGCGGGCGCTGCTTTGAGAGAGGATTCCCGGAGCACTGAGAACCGGGGGTCCTGTGCGCGCATCTGACACGCGAGCCCACGCTCACAGGCTGGCTCTCCTCTCGTGGGTGGAGGCCCAGGTGGACCTCAGCCCGTTCTCCGAGGGCCAGGGCGGCCTCTCTGCTCCTGCACCCCAGCCTCGGGGCGGGGCCGTGGCAGGCTGTGCCGGGGGTCCTCGGGGGTGGCTGCTCCCCACCGTCTCGGGCCCACCAGGCCCCGCAGCTCCTCCGCAGAGCGCCGAGTGTTCCAGTGACCCGCGGGCCAGCAGGACGCACGGTGCTCAGGCTGCGGGGTGCTCGGACACGCTGCGGCCGGCAGTCCGGTCACGGAGAGGCTTCAGACTGAGCCCGGGTGCAAGGGCCGGCGGGCAGCGCGTGAAGGCCGGCCAGCCGCCCCGCGTTCCGCATAAGGGGCACTGCAAGGCCTCTGTGGAGGGGAGACCGGGCGGAGCAGAAGCAGGTCCGCGGAGTCTGCCCTTCCATCGCTGGCGGCTGCGTGACCCCTGAACAGAGCACTCCTCCCCTGCTCCTGAAGCAGGGCTGTAGTAGAACCTGGGGGCCTGTGCCCCCATTTCTTATGCTCAAGTCCCCACTTAGAGAGAAGTCAAAGGGACAGGTGGCGGTCAGGAGGGAGCAGCCACCTGCCAGGACGCACGGCTGCAGCTCTCGGGACCTGCCTGTGTGGCTGGGCGGTCAGGGCTGGGCTGCGGGCAGCTTGGCAGGTTGCTGCGGGACAGCTCTCGTTCACGCAGGCCAGCCCTGAGGGGCAGCGCGGAGCCCCCCGAAGATCGGGCCCTCCGAGTGCAGGCTGGCCGCTCCCAGAGAACCAGGCCCGGGGACAGCGGCCCTCCACTCCGGGCTCCTGGGCGGCTCACCCCCACCTCCAGACGTGACTTCTCTGGCTGGTAAGGACCTCACCAGGTGGCGGCCAGCTGTGCGCAGCCCCAAGGGAGGCTCGGGGAGGGGGGCAGCCCCGAGGGGGGCTCGGGGAGGGGGCAGCCCCGAGGGGGGCTCGGGGAGGGGAGCTCGGGGAAGGGGGCTCGGGAGGCGGGCAGCCCCGAGGGGGGCTCGGGGAGGGGAGCTCGGGGAGGGGGGCATCCCCGAGGGGGGCTCGGGGAGGGGGCAGCCCCGAGAGGGGCTCGGGGAGGGGAGCTCGGGGAAGGGGGCTCGGGAGGCGGGCAGCCCCGAGGGGGGCTCGGGGAGGGGAGCTGGGGAAGGGGGCTCGGGAGGCGGGCAGCCCCGAGGGGGGCTTGGGGAGGGGAGCTGGGGAAGGGGGCTTGGGAGGTGGGCAGCCCCGAGGGGGGCTCGGGGAGGGGAGCTCGGGGAAGGGGACTTGGGAGGCGGGCAGCCCCGAGGGGGGCTCGGGGAGGGGAGCTCGGGGAAGGGGGCTCGGGGAGGGGGACCCCGGCAGGCTGTGTCAGCTCCCAGGTCCAGGGTCTGAGCCATGCAGAGCACACGGCCTTCCCGAGCCAGGGGCTCTGACGGGACGGGACGCGGGCTCGTGGTGCCTGAAGGCCGGGGGGCGTCCTGCAAAGGCATTTCCTTCTCAGAAAGGCAGCCGAGCTGGGCTGGGTGGTCTCCCTCTGCCCACTGCAGGGCCGCCTCCTCCTCAGGGCACATCCGTCAGACGGCACAGCCGTGCCCACCCCTGGCCTCTCGTCGGGGTCACTCCTTCCTACTCAGGGGAACCCACACACCAAGCCCTGGCCACCGCCGGGGGCCTGGGTCCTCGGGGCCTCTGCCCTCCTCCTGGTGGGTCATCTCCCAGCCTCGACCCCTCAGGGACCACACTGCACAGAACCCGCCGCTGGCTCCACTCCCAACACAGCGACAGCCTCACGTCCACGGCTCCGCCCCCCCCCCCCGCCCCCAGGCCCACTTCCTGCCAGCACTGCCCTCCTCCGCTCCCCTCCTCAGTCTGGGCCCCGCTGGGTGGAGGATGTGAGCCACGGGCAGGGGGCACTGCCACCCGGCACCCTGCGGGGGCCCCTGGGCAGTGCCCTGCAGCCTGTGGGACAGACACCCCCTCTGACGGCCCCCCGTGCCACTGCCCCCCCAGCTCAGGTGGCCAGGCCCAGGTCCGCAGGGGCTCCTGCCGGCGGAGGGTGCCGGGCTGAGAGAGGTGAGCTCTGCTGTCAAGTTCAAGGTGGACTCGGACCAGTGAGCCACACGAGCTGCCCCTCCGCCACCCAGACGCCCAGGACCTGGGCCTCTGGCACCAACTCGAGGTCACCGTCCCTGCTCCTGGATCACTTTCCCTTCCAGTCTCCCCGGGGACCTGTCTTGCTACCTCCCGAGGCCCCGCCCTGCTGGGCCCTGGGCTCCGGCCCGGTGCCGCCTGGGTGCCCGCGTGCAGCAGGGGCGTCTGCCGAGCCCCAGAGCGCCGGACAGTTGTCCCCGCAAAGGGCTGCATCTGGACATCGGCTGGTCACTTGAGGTATGTCCTTTACTGAGGTAGCTTCAAGACTGCGTTTGATAGACAGGCAGCGCAGGGGCCACGCGCACGACTCAGGGGCATGTCCTCAGGAAACTCGAGTCCGGGGGTCATCTTGCCCTTCTCAGCTCTGCCCCCGGCCAAGCCCCTGCAGGTCACGGTGCACAGGCCTGGGTGCCCGGAGAGCTGCCTGGCCCCTCTGGGCAGGGCCTTGTCCCCCAGCCGGGCAGGGCGTCCTCAGCCCCGCGGCCAGAGCTCCAGGGGAAGATGACAGAAAGGCCTCAGAACCCCAGGCACCCGGCTGGGTGCGCTCCTGGCCTGGCTTGTGTGGACTTTAGCTCTGGCCTGGCACCCGCGTGGAAGGGCCTGGGTCAGCCACCAACTCAGCCAAGTGACCCATCAGTCCAGTCGGGGAAAAGGGAAGAAGGAACATTGATGTGGCGGCTCACACACCAAACAAACATTAAACTGGACCTCCTTCAGTTTCTTTCCAGGTCAAGGCAGGGCTCCCCGCCGGCCCCCCAATTCTGGGCGAAGTGCCCGGCACTGAAAACCACCCGCGAACCGCAGCTGGAGACCAGGGCCACCCCGAAGGTAAGAAAGAGAAGGGAGCTCGGGGTTCCGGACCCACAGCAGCCCCAGGAGATGCCCGGGGAGCGCAGAGTGGACAGCAGGTGCTGTCCTCTTGCTGACGGGGTGACTCCCGGTGTTTGGAATCCTGCCCTCTAGTGGCACTCTGTGCTCTGGACCCAGCCTTCCTCGGAGGGCGCGGCACCCGGGGCCGGGGGCGCGGCGGTGGTCCTCTTCCTGGGCAGAGCCGGAGCCACGACCACCTCGTCCGAGTCGTCAGAGCAGACGTCTTCCCAAGGTGGCGAGGCCGAGGGCGAGGGAAGGGGCGCGGCTGAAAGGGAGCAGAGAGGTCACGCGCAGGCCCAGGCCCCATGCACGTCCAAGGTCACACCCCGAGCAGTGGGGGACGGACAGACAGACCACACAGCCAGCCTCACGCCGTCACGGCCTCTCCTGACCTCCTAGTCACACCCACCTGTCTCCAGGCTCAGGTCTGAACCCTGGGCCGTCTCCTAAAAGCAGAGCAGCTGTGAAGGGTGAGGGTGAGGGTGCGGCAGTGCCAGCACCCGGGGGCTCGGCGGTGCCCTCCGGCATCCTCACAGCAGCGGCCCGGCCCGGGGCTGGCTGAGTGGTGGCTGAGATTCTGCACCTGTGCCACCAGCTTCCTGGAGAGAACTCGCTCCCCAGGCGCAGGAGGCAGGACCCACCCCGCGGCCACTCAGGAGCTTCTGGCCGTGTGACTCCTGGCGCACCTGAGCCGCCCCCTGCAGACCCACGGCCCGGGGCCTGGGGAGGCGGCTGTGAGGAGGGGCCAGCCCCACACCACAGCCAGAACAGGGCCTTGCTCCTTGCTCGTGAAGGTGCGAGTGAGAAACAACCAAGCGCGGATCTGAGAGGAAGGGGGCTCAGACTCCTCACGATGCAGACACTGACCGCAGGGCGTTTTTCTGGGACCGTCAAGGAAATCGTGACTAAAGTGGAAACCTATGGAATTAAAAATAGCCCGGCTGGTGTGGCTCCGTGGTTGAGCGTCGACCCTGCACCAAGAAGTCGCCGGTTCGATTCCCGGTCAGGACACATGCCCAGGTTGAGGGCCTGATCCCCAGTGGGGGGCGTGCAGGAGGCGACCAATCGATGTTCTCTCTCATCCATGTTTCTCTCTCTCTCCCTCTCCCTTCCTCGCTCTCTAAAATCAATAAAAAAACACACAACTTTTTTTAAATCCTCACCCGAGGACATTCTTCATTTATCTTCAGATAGAGCGGGAGGGAGAGAGAGGAGGAGAGAGAGAAACATCGACGTGAAAGGGACACATCGAGTGGTTGCCACCCACACGACCCAACCAGGGCCGGGGACAAACTGCAACCCAGGTACGTGCCCTTAGCGGGAACCGCATCCAGGTCTCTCTGGTCCACAGGCCAACGCTCTAACCACTGAGCAAGACCAGCCAGGGGGAAAAATATTTTAAAAAAAGAAATTAAAAACATTAGTTTTCAAGGTTAGTGTCCATTTCTCTTTGAAAACATGTTGACTGATGGAGCCAGGGCTGGGATCTCCCTCCTGGGCGGGTCCACACGCGCACACGCGCACACGCACACACGCACGCCAGCCCTGACCACAGGCCCTCCAAGCAGCCCCAGGGGTCTGCGGAGCCTGGGGGCAGCCGGGAAGTCCCAGTGGGGGGCTGGGCGCTGAGCATCTACATGTCCCCGAGGTCCCAGAGCTGCTCGGCTTTGTCCGTGAGCTTTGCGAACGGGCTCTGGGTCAGAACGCCCGAGTCCAAGGCCCGCCGGCTGGGACGGAGCTGGGAAGAGCGACCCTGGTGGACGGACGGGGTTCCCAGCACGGGCACCTTGGGCGCAGCGCAGGGCGAACCTCAGCAGGGCCCGTCCCGGAGCCTCCCCAGCAGGCCCAGAGGAGAGGCACTGCTGGGCACCTCCTTCTCCTGCAACCGGACCACTGGCTGGGCCGGTGCCCCCCACTCACCAGGGCAGGGCTGCGGGGCTGGTCCCTCCCCGGAGTCCCCACTGCTCGCTTCGCTGTCTTCCTGACCTAAAACCACACGCCGAGGGAAGTACGTCTGCAGTCAGCGCCAGCCCTCACGGGAGCCGCACACCCCACGTCTCCCCCCAGTTCTGGGGGGCCCTGCTGACTCCATCTTTCTGACCTAAGGACGCAGGACAGCGCCCAGCAGGGCACCTTCCCAAAGAGACCAGGGCTGTGGTCTCAGCCGAGGAGTCAGATCTCAGCACACCCCGTGTGGCTCGGCCACAGCGCAAGGGGAAGGTGCGCGGCGCAGCCGCAGAGCCGAGACTCTGGGACTGGGAGCAACTCCCAAGCTGCCACCTTGCTCCTGAGGGGACGGGCCCGGCCGCTGCTTGGAGTGAGTGCTGCCAGGACCAGCGCAGTGTCTGGCCACACCGGGTTTCTCCAGTGGGGAGTCTAGACCTTCACGAACTGGACAAGGAAACACGAGCTAAGTTTTACTTAAAAACCAGCCACGGGGAAAACACTGGCCCCCGGGAGGGAGCCACACACCCCGGCTGGAGCTGCACAGTCCAGACACGGGAGCCCTGGAGCTGTGCGGGGGGGGGGGGGGGGGGGGGGGGACACACACACACGTCCGAGGTCAGGGACCGGACTACGCAGCTCTGCGCAGCAGGGAGGGGCTCAGGTTCTCCTGCAGTTGGGGAGGGGGGGGTGAGTCTGGACGGGAGGCTGGGCAGAGGGTCTCCCAGCGGTCACCACAGTCTGCAGGTGCTGCAGCCGGACAAGGCCCCCTGCGCGCCTGCTTCCACGCCCCACTCTCCAGGGTGGTGGCTGTTTTGGCTGAGACCTCAGAGGGTGCGCTGGCCCGTGACCCCGTCACAACAATGGGGAACTTACCGGCAGGCGCTGCGGAGAGAGCTGGTGATGGGGGCGCACTGCGTGCGGCCAAAGCCGGGGTCTCCTTCTCCTTCGCAGCAGCTGCGATGTGCGTCCTCTGACTAGAAATGAGGGAGACCCCGCTGACTCCCACAGGGGGCTCGCTGGGCCCCGGGCCGTGGCTGGACAGGAGCAGCCGCAGGGGCCTCGCGTGTCCTCCGTCAGTGTCCCCGCACCCTGGCTGAGGTCGGCCTGGGCACCACCCTGTCCCCGACGTGTCCACCTCCTGGCCCCACTGACTGCCCAGGGAAGACCCCGCCGCGGCCCTACGAGCGGACTGCGCGGTCTGACTCGGCCCCTCCGCAGAGATGCCGGGGACTCGACCGCGAGGGCCCGTCTGCCGCGCGGGCTGAGGAGCAGAGGTCGGCGCAGGGACAGTGGCGCCCGTGGGCGGCTCGACGCTCTGAGCCTCCCTGTGGGCCCTCGGCCGGGGTTCACCCCGATGGGCTCTGCGGGTCTGCGGCCGGAGAGCCTCCAGGGTGGTGCTGGTTCCTCAGGACGGGGTTGCTGCAAGAGGCCCCCGAATGCCAGCCGGCAGCCCCCAGCTCCTCCAGAAGGGGCACGCGCCAGACGCGCCCGCAGCCGGTCCACAGCAGAGCGGGCCTGCCAGTCAACTTACCTGTGCCTGACCCGTGCCAGGTGTGCCCGCAGGACGGACTGGATGATGGCCACGGCCGCCTCTTGTCCGGGGTCGCCCTTAGCCTGGACAGCGGAGCTCGGAATGCAGGGTGGGGGAGAGGCCTGCAGGTAAGGACAGGACAGGACGCCTGAGAGCCTGCACCCACCCTCCAGGCTGGCAGGGCGTTGCCCTGGTCTCAGGGGGCCAGGTGAGGGCGTGGTTCCGTCTCAGGTGACCCCCCTCGCTAATATTTAGTAAGCAGTTTCCTGATTGTAGGTTCCTTCTTAGATCCTTACAGTGAGCACCTGCCGTTTCAGAGTCTGTCCCATGTTTACGTGTCACATGTTGACTGCGAGAGGACCTTGCTATTCTGGCTCCTCCAGCCCCTGGACCGAGGCCCCACCCACACATGCCCGCGCCAGGGGCACAGGCGTGGCCGGGCGAGGCCGGGCGCCGAGACTGGGAGGTGCCCACGCGTTCCCTGGGTGATGGGGTTTGGGGACCTGCCCCGGAGCGTCACCTGGTTGGGGAGGCCGGGCAGGCCGGGCACGCTGGGAGGTCCTGAGCCACGTGCTCCGCGCACCAACAGCCTCGCCCTCGCCAGGTGCCCTCTGAGAGCCGCCTGAAGCACGGTGGCCGCCTGGCAGGGAGAGAGCGAGATGGGTGATTTCGGGGAGACCCCGGAAAGCACAGGAAGCAGAGCAGGGACGCCCCGACGGCGCGGTCAGCAGGCTCACGAGCACCCCTTCTCAGCAGAACTTCTGCAGCCACAGACGCCCCGCCCCAGGCAGCGGCCTCGCGGAGCTCGGAGGGCCGGTGGGTCCAGCCTCGGGTTACCCTCTGCGGCCGCCCCGTCTGCGTTGAGCTGGGCCGCGCAGGGACCCCAGCTCGGCGCCCTCTGGCCGGTGGGAGCATCGAGCGCACAGGACCCAGCTCTGGGAAGGTGCCGGGGGACGGACACCGGCCCAGGTGCTCTGACCATGGTCACCTGAGGTGGGCCTCTGCGTTTTCTCGTAGGAAGGCGACGGAAATGCCCGGACGTGTGGTTAAGCAGTCAGTACGACACAGGATGGTGAGAGACCCCCCCGGAGCAGATGGACACCTGGACAAACCCAGGGCGTCCATGCCGGGAGGTCAGCAGGCCACAGTGCCGGCTGGGGGACAAGGCCACCGACATTACTTAGGGAGCAGACAGCGACCACACATGGGCCCGTGCCGTCCACTGAGCCCTCACCACGGCCCCAGGGGAGGTCTTCCCATCATCCTGACCCCAGACGCGAGGACACTGGCTTAGGGAGGGATCAGAAGAGCAAGGGCAGAGCCAGGCAGGCAGCCATGCTGGCCGTCTCCCTCATCAGAAGACTGACCACTGACCACAGGCCAGATGCCACCCTGGTGGCAGGGACCCAGACGGCCCTGCCCCCACGGCACCCGTCAGGTGGGGTCTCACACGGCGGGAACTGGAGCTGGGGGGCAGTGAGCAGGAAGGGCTGGGGCGGGTGCCGAGCAGGGTCCTTAGGGTGTGCTCTGGGTTTGCTCAGGTGTGACCTGTTCCTTAGCCCTGGAAGCATGGCCTGTGGCTGCCTGGTGTCAGGCCGCAGGAGGGCAGACGCGGAGCAGGGGCAGGTGGCCCAAATCGGTGCTGTCCCTCACCCCTCAGCTCTGTGCCTGGGCATCTCCAGCTGTCGCTATAGCCCCACTCCCCAGCCCACGGGGCCCTGCTCCCCTCCCCACGCCCCAGCCCACACGGCCCGCTCCCCTCCCCACGCCCCAGCCCACGGGGCGCAGCAGTCTCGGCCTCCGCAGGCCCGGGCTCCACTCGCGTGTCTCCCGACGGGAAGGCCCTTCTCTCACCGCCCGTCCCATGAGCTCCGCTCGCCCCCCAGCCCCACAGGCCCCACAGGCCCACAGGCCCCACACCCGCGCTCCGCCCTGGTCCGTGATGACTGGGCCACGTTCTCGCCCCACCAGCTGTGGCCGCCTTACACTCAGAGCTGGAGCAGCCACGCAGGGTGACCTGAAGGACAGCTTCCTGACTGGAAGTGAGTCCTGGCGGGCAGCTGCGTCCCGGCTGTGTGTTCTGGACGATGCCCCTGCACCTTCACTGGGCCTGTCTACTGTCTTTTTGCATCTAAGATGACAGACCTTTGGAATGTCCACGTAATTCCTTTTCCAGACCCCGCAGACACAACCTCCTCAGGGCCCAGCCTGGCCCTCGCTGCCCCTTGGCCCCCACACCCGTCCCACGATCTCCAACGCCAACCTCCCCAGGGCCAGCCTGGCCCTTGCTGCCCCTTGGCCCGCACATCCGTCCCACGATCTCCAACACCAACCTCCCCAGGGCCAGCCCGGCCCTTGCTGCCCCTCGAGCCCACACACCTGTCCCACGATCTCCAACACCAACCTCCCCAGGGCCAGCCTGGCCCTTGCTGCCCCTTGGCCCGCACATCCGTCCCACGATCTCCAACACCAACCTCCCCAGGGCCAGCCTGGCCCTTGCTGCCCCTTGGCCCGCACATCTGTCCCACGATCTCCAACACCAACCTCCCCAGGGCCCGCCCGGCCCTTCTGCCCCTCGAGCCCACACATCCGTCCCAACGATCTCCAACACCACCCTCCCCAGGGCCAGCCTTGCCCTTGCTGCGCCCTTGGCCCGCAAATCCGTCCCACGATCTCCAACACCAACCTCCCCAGGGCCAGCCCGGCCCTTGCTGCCCCTCGAGCCCACACACCTGTCCCACGATCTCCAACACCAACCTCCCCAGGGCCAGCCCGGCCCTCGCTGCCCCTCGAACCCGCACATCCGTCCCACGATCTCCAACGCCAACCTCCCCAGGGCCAGCCCGGCCCTCGCTGCCCCTCGAGCCCACACACCCGTCCCACGAGCTGCAACGCCAACCTCCCCAGGGCCCAGCCCGGCCCTCGCTGCCCCTCGAACCCGCACACCCGTCCCACAAGCTGCAATGCCAACCTCCCCAGGGCCCAGCCTGGCCCTCGCTGCCCCTCGAACCCCCACACCCGTCCCACGAGCTGCAACGCCAACCTCCCCAGGGCCAGCCCGGCCCTCGCTGCCCCTCTGAAACTGTGGGAACAGACCTTCTTACCTCATCCAGCACAGCCTTTCTTTTCTGAAAGAGAGAACGATGACTTCCGTGAGGATGAGTCCCCCTAACATTCCCCTTCCTGACCCTGCCACAGTGACCGCAGAGGAGGTGGAGCTGGCGCCCCCTGCAGGGCACTGGGAGGTGAGTGGATCCGCCCGCGCCTCCAGGGTGCCATCTGCCCCACCCAGGCACTGCTCTTGGCACAACTATGCTGTCCCCACAGTCTCTTGCCTGTCGCCTGCGCTGCCCACAGAGCCCGCCCATCAGAGGGACGCAGTGGACGTGGTTGGGTGGACAGACGGCAGCGTGGTTTCTGCGGCTGGGAAACACGCAGCCCGGGCCTGGTGGGCTCAGCCAGCGCGGGGCCTGCGGGGCCTGTGGAGCCCTCACCTGGCGTCTGCGCGCCTTCCACCGGGCCTGCAGGGTCCTGGCGGCCGTGAGCCTCTGCTCCTCGGAGCAGCTGCGGGGCGGCTGGGGCCGGCTGGCCTCGCTGGCCTCGGGCTCCGGCTCCGGCCCGTGCTGAGGGGGGCTGCTGGCTGTGGCAGGGCAGGAAGGCCGGGGCTCCTCCCAGGCCTGCAGGGAGCGAGGGGGAAAGGGTAACCCCACATGGGCAGGCGGCAGGGGCCACGGGCCCTGACACAGCTGTGCTTATCCGACCAGACTTGTTCCCTCGGGGAGAAGCGGCGCCCACAGCCCCGGCACGGGGACCCCTCTGGAGCTGCGGCGGGCCAGCGGCGAGCACAGGAGGCTGGTCCTCGCTGCCCCGGGCTCTCTGGACCGCTCTCCGGGACGCGGGTTCTGACGGGCGGCCCAGAACTTGCTGTGTCTCGAGAACGCCCTACTTTTCAGGGTCCTGTCCTGGTCTGTTTAGTGCCGTCACCAGAGGGGCTCCTGGGACTGCGGGCACATCTCCGCCCGGCGTGAAGGTGGAGAGAGGACAAGGGTCGCCGCTGAGACGGGTCAGTGACACTGCCCTGGGCCACTCAGGGCCACGCTCAGCACCTACAAGGACACCTCGCGATAGAAGTGGAGACAGCAGACTGCTCTTCCCACGCGGAACGCGCGTGCTCGTGGACACACGTGGCTGGGGAAGCCCTCTTGGAGGGGGGCCGGACCAGTGCCCGTCCCATCCCCCCGACCCAGGAGTCCCTGCACGGTCGAGGTGTCGCCTGCTGGCGGGGCCCCAGCCCATCAGCGTGCCAGCCTCTCCGGTGCCGCAGCCACACCCGCCAGGACTCCGGCTCGAAGCCGTCCCCTCCCCGCCCGGTCACACTCCAGACTTCGCCCCGAGAGAGGGTCTGTCACCTGCACCACCGTGGGAGTGAACAGGCAGAATCGTGACCTGGAAGAGGCAGGGACGTACTCCGCCCACTCTGGGCGACGGAGGGGAACCCTAACTGACACACGTGCACCTTCCTTGTCCAAGCTGTGCCCCCGCTTCTACAGCAGCTCCCCGCCTGGGACTCGAAGTCCCCAGTCACCCCTTCTTCCTCACATGGAACGCCTTCGAGCAGGAAGGTCCCAAGGCCGGCAGGTGCTCCCGGAAAAGCTCGAGACGGCGCAGTGCGCGTCAGACCACGGTGGACCAGACACTGCGGCCAGCGCCCCACAGACGGACCGGCCGACCCTCCCGGGAGGGCTGTGCGCGCACGTCACAGGGCCTTTCCACGCGCTGTGGGGGCGGTCACCAGGCTGCAGGCCACGTGTGGGCCGGCTCCTGCGCGGCGCCTCTGCAGGGCTGAGCGTGGCCGTCCCTGCGCTGGGCTACCACCGGGAGCACGTTGCCTCCCTGGGCCCCCTGAGCGGTCAGGGGAAGACCCGCCGGCGTTCCCGCTGTTGGCAGGGACGCGGATCCTCGAGGAGGTACACGCGCCACAGTGAGAACTGAGTGTACTCTGACACCACACCGACCCTGAAGCTCGGGAGAGGTGGGCCCCGCGGTGCAGGTGCCCAGACAGGAGGTGGCCCGCAGCCAGGCCAGGTGGGGGACGCGAGGGACGAGGGCTGGATCTGTGTCTGACTTGCGCTCAGGGAGGAGGCAGAGCTAGAGCCTCTCCCGTCCCCAGCCCACATCTGACCATGGAACCCACGGCGCCCCGAGTGCCACGGGGGGAGGAGCCTCCTGGAGCCAGGGCACCCCGAGTGCCACGGGGGGAGGAGCCTCCTGGAGCCCACGGCGCCCCGAGTGCCACGGGGGGAGGAGCCTCCTGGAGCCCACGGCGCCCCGAGTGCCACGGGGGGAGGAGCCTCCTGGAGCCAGGGCACCTCCACAGGCCAGGTCGCTGGCCCGGCCCCGCAGGGCGTGGAAGACGCCGCTCTCCGAGGGACGCACGACCGGGTGGACAGCTTTAGAAATGACGCGGCTGCCAGCAGGGCTCACGAGGACATGCAGCGAGGACACCCCGGAAGGCTGCGCTGCAGTCGGGAGCCCCACTCAGGGCAGCGGTGTCCCCGAAGTGCCGCGGCGCCGGAGGAGACAGCGCCGCGCACCACAGGCCACCCCCCCCTGGGTGGACAGCACAGGCACTAGGTCAACAGGGCCTCCTGAAAAGTGACCGTCACGCAGAGACGCTGAATTCCCGGACAGGGACAGTGGTCTGCAGGACTCAGAGAACCCTGCTTGAAGCACGGGGAAACCACCACGGAAACACACAGGTCTTCTCCGTGGACCAACCACGAGTTCTCAGAGGAGGACACGGCCTCGCCCGCCCACCCTCACCGCCCGACTTCAGGGCCGCCCCCGCGCCCCCCGAGCCCGGCTCCCACCCTCCAGTCTCGGACCACAGCGGAAGCACCGTGGAGCATGTGCTCGGCGGCCTTACCACGAAGACATGGCTGCAGGCGCCGCCCGGAGAGGAAGCCAGTGCAGAGCCAGAGCAGGGGCCCAGCCCGCACCCGCCACGCCCGCCAAGCCTCCCTTTCGGTGGCCAGAGTCCCTGCCAGGCCACTGCTACCGAAACAGTCACTTTCAGAAGCAACAGAACTTCTTGGCTAAAATGTCACAGGTAGAGGCGCCATGCTAGGGGTCCCCAGGAATTGCTGGGCACTTAGCAAGCAGAAAGGAGGCAGAACAGAGGGAGGAGGCTGCCACGGGCCCACCCTCTCTAGCCTGGGCTCCCTTCGGGCACCAGACCGCATGTCCGGGTCTCCCCGTCCCTGGATAGCCCTGAGCAGACGCAGGACGGGCTCCAGTCCTCCTCACTGGCCCTGATGCTGAGACGCCGGCCCACTGCCCTGCCACATGGAGACCCCCCGACTGGGAGCAGGGCGAGGACACCACCCTGCCAGCCGGGACCCCTCGTGCCACACACCGCCGCGTGCGTGCAGATGGGGGGCGAGGGCGGAGCAGGGACGGGGCTCTCCCCCACGGGCTGCTCACTGCCCACAGGTCTTGCACAGGGGACTGCACCCCCAAGTCAACACTGACAATTACTGAGCCCGGAACGCTGGGGCACAAGGCCACAATTTATAGAAATCCGTGTGACAACAAAGGAAACAGGACTGTCAGCGCTGGGGCTGGGAAAACTCGGGGGACGGAAACCGTCGCAACCGAGCCCCCGCTCGCCTGAGCCGTACCTCGGGGGTCACTTCTGGGGGGTCTTCTTCCTTCCTGGTTGCTGCCAGGTCTTGGAACTTCTTGGTCAGCGCTTGGATCTCCTCCCTGCGGTGGGAGAGGGAGAGGTGGAGTCTCACCTGCCATCACGCTGCAGGGACCCAGGTATGAGGGGCGGCGGCCTGGAGAGCAGGGGAGACCCTCCCCCCTCCCCGGGGCGGTGGCCCAGCGCCCATGGCCGCCCCGTCTGCACAGGAGCGGTGGGCCCGCGCACCCCCTGGCGCTGGGCGGAACTGAGAAACGCTGAGTGCAGGGTGAGGAGTGGGTACGGGGGCTCCAAATAAGCCAGGGAACGGAGGAGACGCACGTCCCAGCTACAGACTTAAAGGCAAAGTAAAAACAGTTCTGCGTCCCTGCCCTTCTGACCCAGTCTAGCCTCTGACCACGTCTAGTCACATTTCTCCTGAAACAAAACTGTATTAATGTCAACAATCTGCCTTACTGATTTTTTTTGGTTAATTCCCACCTGAGGATATTTTTCCTTTGATGTTTAGACACAGTGGAAGGGAGGGAGGGAGAGAGAAACATCCATGTGAGAGACACACATCAATTGTCTCCTGCACGACCCCGACCGGGGCCAGGGATCGAACCTGCAACCCAGGTACATGCCCCTGACTGGGGATCGAACCCGAGACCCTGTGGTGTGCGTGGGCCGACACTCTGACTTCTGAGCCAACCGGCCAGGGCTGACTTACTAATTATTGAGTGCTGAACATTTCTGATCAGATTTCCAATCTACTTTTTTGGGCCATTTTTTACTGCTATAAAATTCACTCCTTTATTTTATTTCTTTATTTTAAATACTATATTTTATTGACTTTTTTAGAGAGAAAGGATAGAAACATCGATCAGCCACTTCCTGCACGCCCCCCACTGGTACTGAGGATCGAGCCCTGCACCCCGGGCCTGTGTCCCGACCGGAATGGAACTGGACTTCAGTCCACGGGACGGCGCTCAGGCCCGAGCCACACCGTCGGGCTGGGGTTCACCACTGTGAAGTGCACAGTTCGGGGGTGTAGCCGGCCCGCACCGCCAGTCCCTCTCCCCCCGGCCCCTCGTCCGCGTGCTGCCTCTGCGCCTGGCCAGCGCTGGACCCTCCGGATCAGACAGCACCGGCCTCTCTCTGTGCTGCCCGACACCTGTGTCACTGCGTCCCCAGCCCCTCCTCCCAGCACGCCTCGGTTCCTTGGCCGTCAGCGCACGGACACGTGGGCCGGGGTGGCCAGCGACACTGGAGGCGTGAGGCACTGTCCTGAGGTGGGGCCTGGGGGTGAGGTGGGTGGGGGTGCGGGAGGGGAGGTGCCGCAGCCAGCTCCCCAGCTCTGGCCTGACGGGAGAGGGCGGCCACGCGGTGCAGGACAGCTGTGGTGGGTGTGACTGACCCCCGCTCGCTTACCTCAAAGCCTCCTCTCTCGCCCGCCTCTCCTCCTCTCCCTCTCGCGTGCCTTCCAGCTCCTTCTGCAAGTCGGCCTTGGTCTGGAGCAGCTGTGCCACTTCCAACCTGAACACAGAACCGACCGTCAGCGTTCCTGGGACAGAGGCCACGGCTACGTGGCCGTCGCACGCAGCCAGGGCGCTCATGACACAGACGGAGGACGGGGAGGAGGAGCCAGGCACAGGCCCGCGCCCCAGTCACTGAGCACCTGCCGTGCACCAGCGACAGACAGACTCGCCGAGGTCCCTGCTCTCGTGACCTCACTGTCTCTTGGGGACAGGCATCACCCCAACCGTGAGGCTTCTAACCCGTGTCCTGAGGAGTGCTCGGCACAGCCTCGAGGGCCGGGCTGGGGGCTGCCTGGGCTGAGCCTTGACCCGGGCCCCCAGGCATCTCCAGCGGAACTGCTTCCGCACGGGCTTTCCGGGCCCACAGGTGGCGTGGCCGACGACGTGGCTGTGAAGGGGCCCTGTCTGATGCTCAGTGGCACCGCTCACGGTCGCAGCGACTGAACTTCTCAGGGTCCCGTGACTCTCCACGGGATGAGGTCACACACCTTGGGTGGCTGGCAGAGCAGGGTACACAGTGGGGGCTCAGAAAGGGGAGCACGTCATGCCACGTGATAGCTCAGATCATCACAGGCGTGACTTTACTCTCAACACGACGCCTAACTTTTGTAACTTCCTGAAACCCTAACATTGACGAAGAGCCTGCAGTTCGCGTGGTGGCACTGTGCACGGGCTGCAGGTGGGGCGGGGGGGTGTGAGCGCCTGGCCCTCAGGTGACAGCACGTGCGTGGTCAGGGCTGCGCAGACACCAGGCTGCAGGGACCTGGGGCGGCCCCGGGCGGGCTGGGGCGCTGGCTCCCAGGAGGCACGGAGCAGCGGGTCTCAGGGGTGCTCACCGGCTCAGAACACGAACGCGGCGTATTGCTCGCGGCAGAGCGGAGGCCAGCGAAGGCCCCGCGTACCGGAGGGGGAGCCAGGCCCATTTCGGGTGGGCTGCAGACACCAGAGGCTCTGCCTTGAGACGCTCAGGGTCACGCTGAATAGTGCACGCATTTCTGCGCTATCTGATATATCAACTAGGTGTCCTAAACATATGACTGGGTTTTTAAGTCACTCCACATATGATCTAAAAAAGAATCTGGAAATCCCTCTGGAATTCGGTGTAAAGACACGTAACTGACCCCTTTCATGGTGCAGCACGGCCACTTGTCTTCCCTGCACCACTCAAGCTACCCACGTTTCACAACCAAAACGTAAGTCTTAGAATCACCTAAACACATTTATGCAACTGCTGCCGTGAGCTGAGCATCCTCCCAGTTCGCAAGAGCCGAACACGGGCACCTACTCTCTCTCCTGCAGCCGGGCCTGCAGGGCCTCCCGCTCGCCATCCAGGCTCCTCACGGCCTCCCGGAGACGCTCGCTGTCCTCGCGGTGCCCGCTGCCCTCGTGGTGCCCGCTGCCGTCGCGGTGCCCGCTGCCGTCACGGTGCCCGCTGCCCTCGCGGTGCCCGCTGTCCTCGCGGTGCCCGCTGCCGTCACGGTGCCTGCTGCCCTCGCGGTGCCCGCTGCCGTCACGGTGCCTGCTGCCCTCGCGGCGCTCGGATGGGGGCCTGTGCACCCAGGAGCCGGATGCGGAGAACGCCAGGGGGCCTGACTTGGCCACTTCTGAAGCCTGTGGCTTTGGGCTTTCCATCGAGTTCACCTTCTGGAGGCAACACGGGTGTTTGTTAGACGTCATTCCTGAAACCAGCCCGCGGCGGCAGCGCTCAGGCTAGAAAAGCTCGTCTCCGCGAGGGGCCTTTCCGCCCAACAAGCTTTACCTTAAAACGTGCCCCTGAATTATTAGTGCATTCTCTGCTTCTAGATACGTGAAACTGTGTGTGTGCGCATAATATTTTTCTTTATTGGTTTTAGAGAGAGAGGAGGGGAAAGGGAGAGAGAGAGAGAAACATCGATGAGACAGAACACTGACTGGCCGCCTCCTGCACACCCCTCACTGGGGATCAGGCTCACAACCTGGGCATGTGCCCTGACTGGGAATCAAACGGGTGACCTCCTGGTGCAGGGTCTCAACCACTAAGCCACAGCAGCCGGGCTAAATATGTGAAATCATGTTTTCAAAACGGTTCCCCTCTAGGTTCACTCCGTCAGCCCAACCACGCGACAAGCGGACACACTGCAGTGTGCACACTCACAGGGCGGCACGAGGGCTTCGGGCGGGTGGGGGTCTTCTGTGGGAAGCCCTCGGGGAGCGCTGGGCGGGGAGGAGGCCCACATGTGCAGGTGAGGGGCTGGGACCCTCTGCACCCCAGCTGGCCCGGGGCGGCGCTCGGCCCCGACCCTCTGCAGAGTGTCACGCCACACTCAGGGCCGCCTCTCCCAGGCCAAGTCCCGGAGCAAAGCCCTGGCCCAGGCCGAGTCCCGGAGCAAAGCCCTGGCCCAGGCCGAGTCCCGGAGCAAAGCCCTGGCCCAGGCCGAGTCCCGGAGCAAAGCCCTCCCACAGGCCGAGTCCCGGAGCAAAGCCCTCGCCCGTCGGGCTTCCCCTCGAGCAGGGCAGGCCCTGAGCAGGAGGTGGGCGCGGCAGGCCCCTGCTCACCTTCTCCAGCTCCGCGATCCGCCGCAGCAGCCGGGGCCTGCTCCACTCCGCGTACCCTGAAGGGAGCAAGGGCTTGTGAAGACACTCCGTGCCACCCCGACGGGCCCCTTCCCGCCCGCCCTGCTTCAGAGCGGCGGCCTGCAGCTCCCTCCCGGGCTGGCACCCGAGGGCACTGGCAGACTCCCGTGCCCCAGAGGGCTTCCCCCAGGCCCACCTGGTCACAGGCCCAGGTCTCCTCAGGCCTCTGTGGGCCCTGCTTTCCTGAGTCTACTCTTGTCAGGCTTTGGCCCCACCTGCCCATCAACAGGCCTCTCCAAGGTCACGGGTTTCACGGTGCCAACCCCGCCACAAAGCCCCCTCCGCACCCTCCTGCCCCTCCCATCAGCTCCCCGCTGCCGGGCCCAACGCTGGCCCTTTCCCCTCTGCTCACGCCCAGGGTGCAGAGGGCGCACAGGGCTCCGATGCCGCCGGCCACCTGCTCCCTGCCAGCCACCAGCTCTAGTTCTGCCGGCTGTGGCCCTGAGCTCCCTGACACGCCCCCATCCCCCGGGTCCAGGGGCAGCCCCTCGGGCACAGCGCTTGAACTCCCGGCCCGCTATCCACGCCTGCTCAGCTCTGGGGCCGCAGGAAACAAGTCAGACACTTTCTTCTTCTTTTTTTTTTTATCCTCACCCAAGGACATTTTTCCATTCTTTGTTCAGGTAGAGTGGGAGGGATAGAGAGGAAGGGAGGGAGAGAGAAACATCGATGTGAAAGGGACACATCGAGTGGTCGCCACCGGCACAACCAACCAGGGCCGGGGACAAACTGCACCCGAGGTACATGCCCTTAGCGGGAACCGAACCCAGGTCTCTCTGGACCGCAGGCCGACGCTCTAACCACTGAGCAAAACTGGCCAGGGCCAAGTCAGACACTTTCCACGTCTGCTCTCCCGCTGCCTGAGTGGCCTTCAAGCCCCTGTGGTCAGTGCGGCTCCCTGACTCCCATCCTCATCACTGCCCCTTGGTCCCCAAACACACCATCCGGACACCCAGGGCCGGTGCTCACCAACGTCCTCTCGCCGGCCCTGCTGAAGGCTCTTCCCAGCGCCACCTGCCCCCTCCTGCCAGCTCCTACCCCCCTGACCTGCGGCCCACCTGCTGGCTGCCCTGCCTCCCTGCCACGACCTCACCTCAGCGAAGGACACCTGGGCCTTCTGTTACCGCCGTCTCCAGCACCAGGACAGCGCTGGGTGCACGGCGGGTGTGTGTCACAGTCCAGCCACCCTGAGCTGGAGTGGCCCAGGGGTGTGCACTGGCCGGCCTCGCGGGGGGGAGGGCGGGCTGTCGCTCTCAGAGACCCAGGACGGCCCCTCCCCGAGGGCCCCAGGGTGCTCCGGGAAGGTACCCTTCGTCCGGGAGACGGTGGGCGAGCTGCTCAGCACGCGGTCCAGGTCCTCCTTCAGGCTCTGGTTCTCCTCCGTGAGCTCCTGCACACTCCGCGACAAGCTCAGGAGGGTGCTGCTCAGCCGCTTCTGCCTCCTGAGCCCCGCCTTCCTCTCCGCTGGCGGCCTGGGGACCACAGAACCGCGCTCAGGCCCCGAACGGGTCCCGCAGGCCTCAGGGGGCGCGGGCGGGCGCCTCCGGAGTGCTGGTCACACGGGACCCGAACCGGACCCCAGGGAAGCCAGCTGCCACCCCAACGGGGTTCTGTTCTTGCAGTTGGTAAACCTAGTGGCCAGACACTGCACTGAGTTCCGGTGATGTCCCAGGTTTGTGGCCATTCTGCTCCCAAAGCCCGTGACGGGTGCTTGGGTCCTGCCTCCTGTCCCCGGGTCTAAAGCACAGTCCACCCGCATTGCTCAAAGGCTCTGGTTTGCGAGCCTGGCCCCTCGCCACGGTGCGCTGGTGACCCTGGCCAACGCACGCGGATGCACAGTCACCACGGGGACGGCAGAGGCGAACTCAGCTCCGGCCTCAGGCCTCACGTCACACAGGTCACTCCGTGGGCTACCTAGCACATGCTTTCCAGGGTCTGGGCTTTAGGTCAGCGAGTCCAGTGTTCCCCACAAAGGAGTCGCCTCAAGGGCGGGGCGTTCAACGCTCCTGAATCAGCACCGCCCACCTGGGAGGGCATCTTACACAGAAACACCTGGAAACACACCCCAAAGCAGCTGCGGACCATGCGAGCAGAGGCTCATGGGAACTCACCGGCCGCCCCCAGAGCACGCTCAGCGCTCTCACAGGAGGCACAGGTCGGCCACGAGGGACTGGATCTGGCAGCCCGTACGCTCTACAGAACAGTGTGCCCTGCTCTAAACCCGGGGGGCAGAGGGAGACCAGAGGCACAGGGTGGACCATGGGGGAGGAGAGGGGAGACCAGAGGCACAGGGTGGACGATGGGGGAGGGGAGGGGAGACCAGATGCACAGGGTGGACCATGGGGGAGGAGAGGGGAGGGGAGACCAGAGGCACAGGGTGGACCATGGGGGAGGAGAGGGGAGACCAGAGGCGCAGGGTGGACCATGGGGGAGGAGAGGGGAGACCAGAGGCACAGGGTGGACCATGGGGGAGGAGAGGGGAGACCAGAGGCACAGGGTGGACCATGGGGGAGGAGAGGGGAGACCAGAGGCACAGGGTGGACCATGGGGGAGGAGAGGGGAGACCAGAGGCACAGGGTGGACCATGGGGGAGGAGAGGGGAGACCAGAGGCACAGGGTGGACGCCCCATGAATGTCATGATCACTACAGAGGCCCAGGGGGAGGCATGCGTCTGAGGGTCACTGCCCCGTCTGCGGGCTGCCTGTACTGCCTGGGAGGGACGCAGGACTCTGTGGCCAGAAGACCCGGAGTCTCCCGTACCCGTGGCCTCGGGGAATCAGATCCTGCTACTCTGAGCTGGGGCTGGGGTGCTGGGACAGTGTGGGCACAGGCAGATGGCGCCCCGAGACCGAGGCAATGGGAACACCGCAGACCACTGAGGCGGCGGGGCGGGGCGAGGCGGGGCGGGGCGGGGCACAGCCCTGAGGAGAACAGAGTTCGTACTTCTTTCCAGAAGTTTCTGAGCTCGCCAGCAGCGCCTGGAGACGATGGATCTGTGGGGACCAGATGAAAGGCCATGAAGTCCCAGTGAGCTCCGGGCCGGCCCCTCCCCCCAGACCGTCTTTCTCTCAGGTGCCGATTTCTGCCCCGTGGCGAGAGGGCAGCACAGGGCCGAGACTCGGCTCACGTTGACCAGGACGCAGGGTTCCCGGGCCACCAGCAGCCACCCCTCCCCCCCTCGGACCCCATGCCGCTCTGGGCTGCTCTGGGGGGAGGCACCCACCTCCTCGTAGTAGGTCTCCATGACAACCCTCATCTCCTCCAAGCTCGTGGTCTTCAAGTCAGCCTGCAGCTTGCTGGGAACCCAAGGTCAGAGTTAGCAGGCGGGCTGCCCTCCCAGGACGGGGACGTGTCCCTGGGCCTCAGGGCAGGACGGGCGGGCAGGGAGGGCTGAGCGCCCCCGGCTGGCTGGTGGCCTCACACAGACCCTTTCCAGGCCCCCCAGAGAGCCGCTCAGGAGCACTGGGCCCCTCCAGGGAGACTGGCTCCTTCCCCGGGGGGGCGGCAGACGCCCTGAAACGTCTTGGCCAGAGAGGCTGGGGGGGGGGGCTCGGGGCAGGCGCAGGTGTGCAAGGGACAGACCACTGTGTTCTCCACGGGTCGTCGGGGTGACTCTGCTCGGCCGTGGGCAGACCCTGGACGAAGCTACGGCCAGAGATGAGTCAGCATTCAGGGCTCAGAAATGGGGACCCGCCCGCAGCTTCAGTGGACAGCAGGGGGCCGCGCGAAGGGGAGGGGGCGGCAGGGTGTGGAGCCGAGGTTCCCTCCGATCAGAGAGCAGCCGGGCAGGCTCCTCCGCACTCGCACAGGACAGACACGGGCGGCGTGGGGGGCCGGAGGGCGGCGGGAGCCCCGCACCGGGCCCTTGTGTCGAGACCAGTGTCCCTGCCGCAGGTCAGAGTGGGCCACAGGGAGCTCAGGGGAGAAAGCAGCGGGCACAGGCTAAGGACACTGTTCCTCACCGACCAGGGAGAGGTGGCTAATATCTCCTCTACTTTTGGCAGAGCGATGAAGCTGGGACCAGGACATGGAACAGAGGATGGGGGGTGAGCACTAAAACTGCCGTCCGAGAACACGGGCCAATGCTGAACTGAATAAAATGAGGTAAGACACCCGCCGAGCCCCGGCCTCAGGGGGCTACAGGGACACCACCGAGCCCCGGCCTCAGGGGCACAGGGACAGGGACACCGCCGAGCCCCGGCCTCAGGGGGTCAGGGACACCGCCGAGCCCCGGCCTCAGGGGCACAGGGACAGGGACACCGCCAAGCCCCGGCCTCAGGGGGACAGGGACAGGGACACCGCCGAGCCCCGGCCTCAGGGGCACAGAGACAGGGACACCGCCGAGCCCCGGCCTCAGGGGCACAGGGACAGGGACACCGCCGAGCCCCGGCCTCAGGGGGTCAGGGACAGGGACACCGCCGAGCCCCGGCCTCAGGGGGACAGGGACAGGGACACCGCCGAGCCGCGGCCTCAGGGGCACAGGGACAGGGACACCGCCGAGCCCCGGCCTCAGGGGCACAGGGACAGGGACACCGCCGAGCCCCGGCCTCAGGGGGACAGGGACAGGGACACCGCCGAGCCCCGGCCTCAGGGGCACAGGGACAGGGACACCGCCGAGCCCCGGCCTCAGGGGGTCAGGGACAGGGACACCGCCGAGCCCCGGCCTCAGGGGGTCAGGGACAGGGACACCGCCGAGCCCCGGCCTCAGGGGGTCAGGGACAGGGACACCGCCGAGCCCCAGCCTCAGGGGGACAGGGACACCCTCTGAGCCCCGGCCTCAGGGGGTCAGGGACAGGGACACCGCCGAGCCCCGGCCTCAGGGGGTCAGGGACAGGGACACCGCCGAGCCCCGGCCTCAGGGGGTCAGGGACAGGGACACCGCCGAGCCCCGGCCTCAGGGGCACAGGGACACCGCCGAGCCCCAGCCTCAGGGGGACAGGGACACCCTCCGAGCCCCGGCCTCAGGGGGTCAGGGACAGGGACACCCTCCGAGCCCCAGCCTCAGGGGCACAGGGACACCCTCCGAGCCCCAGCCTCAGGGGCACAGGGACACCCCCCGAGCCCGGCCTCAGGGGACAGGGACACCCCCCGAGCCCTGGCCTCAGGGGCACAAGGACACCGCCGAGCCCCGGCCTCAGGGCACAGGGACACCCCCCGAGCCCCGGCCTCAGGGGCACAGGGACACCCCCCGAGCCCCGGCCTCAGGGGCACAGGGACACCGCCGAGCCCCGGCCTTGGGCACAGGGACACTGCCCCGTACCTGATGGTGCTGTCCTTGTCCTTGCACTGCTGCTCCAGCCGCAGGACCCTCTGCTTCAGCCCGTTCACCACCTGCCACAGAGCCCACTCTTCAGGCCCACGGCCTCCAGGTCTGGGGTCGCAGCCTCCCCTCCTCTGGAGACTGACTGTCCCGCCCCAGAGGGGACCGGCAGCACCCGCACCCCCTCCGCCACAGCACTCTGGTCCTCAGTTACCCTCCATTTAACCGCTGGGCTCTGCTAGGCTGCGGGCACGGGGGAGGGGAAGGCAGCGGTCCCAGCCAGGCGGGGCGGAGGGGGCTGCGGCACACGCCCGGCTGCCACACTGAGCAGAGGGCAGGATGTCCCGGGAAGACACTGCCACCAGCGGCTGAGCAGGGCCGGACGGGGCGCCTGCACCTCCACGGCGGCCACTCACCCACCGCCCCCTTCCTGCTCCTCTCTGCTAAGCTCTCGCTTTGGGGGATGGCACCCTGCGTTCCTGAAAGAGCACCCCTTTCTTCCTTTCTGAACAGCCAGCCAAACAACTTTAACTGGGTTTAAAAGCAACTGTAAACTCTACTAGTAACACGTGAATCCGTTTTCTTGTAAAAGTCCGTTACAAGCGAAACTAGAGCCTCTGGCCTTACCTCTCTCAACCAGAATGTCACCCTCAACTGGACGTGTGCTCTGCAGTTAGACACGTGTTCACACTGGGCGCCCTGGGATCTGGGCACCTCGTGGCTCACATGAATTTCAGCTGCTGCCGCTGGTGCCTGGGTCCCGGCCACACCTACGTCACCTTCCCCGGCCGACACGCGCGGCCGGGGCGTCTCCCCCACCATGGCGGCGGGAGCCGGCCCGTGCGTGCAGGCGATGTCCAGCCGGCAGCCTCCTGCGGCGGCGTGGGCGACAGCGGGTGCCCTGACCGGCACGGCACAGGCCGTGCCCCAGAATCCCAGCTCCCAGTCCACTTCCATCAAACAGGCCTCTCTCAGGGCTCCGCACCCTCACCCCGATCACCCCCACCGTCCGGACACAGTGCCACCGTCCGTACTCTTTAAAACTCTCTGGAGAAGTGATGCAGGGGATCCCATCTGAAAGGCTTCTCCGCCGGAGGACCACAGACAGAGGCTTTGCGCTGGGGCCTTTGGGACGGTCCTGGAAGGGCCTGGTGGACAAGAGGTGCCGACGTCCCGGCCGCCCGGCGCCCGCCGTCCGACCCGTGCAGTGTCACCGAGTGCGCCGTGCCTCTGGCCCTGCCGGCACCGGTTCCGCCGTCGGTGTCTGTGGCTACTTCGCCATGTGAGGCAGTCCAGGACTTCACTGCTGGGGACCGAGGGGGACACTGGCCCAGTCTTCCGGTCATTCACTGCAAATTGGGCCAATCTCTCAACCTGTTTCCTGGTTTTAAAAAGGGGGATTGAGCCCTGGCTGATTTGGCTCAGCAGTTAGAGTGTTGGCCCACGGACCAGAGAGTCCCAGGTTCGGTTCCTGCTAAGGGCATGTACTTCGGTTGCAGTTTGTCCCCGGCCCTGGTTGGGGTTATGTGGGTGGTAACCACTCGATGTGTCTCTCCCACATCGATGTTTCTCTCTCTTTCTTCCTCCCTCTCTCCTTCCCGCTCTGTCTGAAGATAAATGAAAAAAATGTCCTTGGATGAGGATAAAAAAAAGGCTCCTGTTCGGAAGGGGGTTGAGGCTCCTGTTCGGAAGGGGGTTGAGGCTCCTGTTCGGAAGGGGGCTGAGGCTCCTGTTCGGAAGGGGGTTGAGGCTCCTGTTCGGAAGGGGGTTGAGGCTCCTGTTCGGAAGGGGGTTGAGGCTCCTGTTCGGAAAGGGGTTGAGTCTCCTGTTCGGAAATGGGTTGAGGCTCCTGTTCGGAAAGGGGTTGAGGCTCCTGTTCGGAAGGGGGTTGAGGCTCCTGTTCGGAAGGGGGTTGAGGCTCCTGTTCGGAAGGGGGTTGAGGCTCCTGTGCGAAGGGGGTTGAGGCTCCTGTTCGGAAGGGGGTTGAGGCTCCGTTCAGGAAGGGGTGTCGGAAGGGGGCTGAGGCTCCTGTTCGGAAGGGGGCTGAGGCTCCTGTTCGGAAGGGGCTGAGGCTCCTGTTCGGAAGGGGGCTGAGGCTCCTGTTCGAAGGGGGCTGAGGCTCCTGTTCGAAGGGGGCTGAGGCTCCTGTTCGGAAGGGGGCTGAGGCTCCTGTTCGGAAGGGGGCTGAGGCTCCTGTTCGGAAGGGGGCTGAGGCTCCTGTTCGGAAGGGGGCTGAGGCTCCTGTTCGGAAGGGGGTTGAGGCTCCTGTTCGGAAGGGGGTTGAGGCTCCTGTTCGGAGGGGGTTGAGGCTCCTGTTCGGAAGGGGGTTGAGGCTCCTGTTCGGAAGGGGGTTGAGGCTCCTGTTCGGAAAGGGGTTGAGGCTCCTGTTCGGAAGGGGGTTGAGGCTCCTGTTCGGAAAGGGGTTGAGGCTCCTGTTTGGAAGGGGGTTGAGGCTCCTGTTCGGAAGGGGGTTGAGGCTCCTGTTCGGAAGGGGGTTGAGGCTCCTGTTCGGAAGGGGGTTGAGGCTCCTGTTCGGAAGGGGGTTGAGGCTCCTGTTGGAAAGGGGTTGAGGCTCCTGTTTGGAAGGGGGTTGAGGCTCCTGTTCGGAAGGGGGATTGAGGCTCCTGTTCGGAAGGGGGTTGAGGCTCCTGTGCAGAAGGGGGTTGAGGCTCCTGTGCGGAAGGGGGTTGAGGCTCCTGTTCGGAAGGGGGTTGAGGCTCCTGTTCGGAAGGGGGCTGAGGCTCCTGTTCGGAAGGGGGTTGAAGCTCCTGTTTGGAAGCCGGTGAGACCCGCCGCCTGCATAGGTGCCACGGCTGAGTGGCGGCCACGTGGACACCGCGTCCAGGGAAGCCCCGCCTCCCTGGTGCGCCCACTGTGCTGGCGGAGGGGCGTCCCTGGCGGGCAGTGGCCCTGTGTCTCCCAACTTGGAGAGAACACCAGCGCGCGTCCGCGTCCTCCCCTCGCCACGCTGTCGTCGGAGGGTGTTCCGTACAAATTCCATGTTCTCAGTCACGTTGGCGCCGTTTCATCTCTGTCCAATCATCTCACAATCGCACCGTCCGGGTTTCCGGCAGCATCTCGGTGACGCAAGGACTTCCTGACGGCTCTGTCTGGGCGGCCCGCTCTGTCCGCTCACCGGCAGCCGGCACTGGGGCACCAGGCGGCCACACACCCGCTCCGGCCAGGCTGTGCCGGTAGGAGGGGATCCGAGGCAGGCTTGCCTCAGGGTGTGCTCTGCCCCCCTTTGCTCTGTCCTCAGTGTGGCTGGGTCAGCAGGGTGTGTCTGTTAAGGTGTCGTGGGAAGTCCCCTGCGACTGTGTTCTCCACAGACCCCCCTGTGGAAGCAGCTCCGCCCGCCCCCTCGAGGCCCTGCAGCCCTGGCTCTGGGGGCTGTTTTAGGGAGCGCTGGGCCTTCCCTGCACCTGCCCTGGAAGACAGGGGTCTCCCTGCAGCCCTGGCTCCGGGGGGCTGTTTTAGGGAGCGCTGAGCCTTCCCTGCACCTGCCCTGGAAGACAGGGGTCTCCCTGCAGCCCTGGCTCCGGGGGGCTGTTTTAGGGAGCGCTGAGTCTTCCCTGCACCTGCCCTGGAGAAAGGGGTCTCCCTGCAGCCCTGGCTCCGGGGGGCTGTTTTAGGGAGCGCTGGGCCTTCCCTGCACCTGCCCTGGAGAAAGGGGTCTCCCTGCAGCCCTGGCTCCGGGGGGCTGTTTTAGGGAGCGCTGGGCCTTCCCTGCACCTGCCCTGGAGAAAGGGGTCTCCCTGCAGCCCTGGCTCCGGGGGGCTGTTTTAGGGAGCGCTGGGCCTTCCCTGCACCTGCCCTGGAGAAAGGGGTCTCCCTGCAGCCCTGGCTCCGGGGGGCTGTTTTAGGGAGCGCTGGGCCTTCCCTGCACCTGCCCTGGAGAAAGGGGTCTCCCTGCAGCCCTGGCTCCGGGGGCTGTTTTAGGGAGCGCTGGGCCTTCCCTGCACCTGCCCTGGAAGACAGGGGTCTCCCTGCAGGCTGATTCCAAGACAAGGTTTCAGCGGTAGGCGACCTGTCCGCTGCAGCAGGTACTCACCCAGCCGGTGTCGGGCCTCTTCTCTCCCAGAGTCCAAACAGAATCCAGGCCCTGTGGAGAGAGCGAGACGGAAACATGTGGGCAGGCCCCTCCACCCCACACGCCTGCAGCCAGGGCACCTCCCCCCAGGACGGCTCACTCGGGACGGGTCCAGGAGCTGCTCTATCTGCCGGTCCTTCCTGCTGTTCTCCTCCTCCAGGCGCCGCAGCTTCGTCCTCAGCAGGTCCGCGTCGCTCTTCTGCACGTGCAAGGACTGGAGAGAGGGGCGCACCTCGTGCACACTGCGCACAGACAGCCGGCCCGAGCTCACGTTGCCGGGCTCCCCTCAGGGCACGGTGCGTGGGGGCTGGGATAAGTGTCAGCCAGGGCCAGGACCACCCACACAACCACGAACTCCCCACCCCCGCCGTGGGCACCGCCACGGGGAGGCGGCTCCGCCAGCCGAGCTGCCAGCAGCACTCCCGGACGATGCCAAGGTCGTGCGCTGTCTTCCATGTCCACGCGAGAAACCCCACTGTCACAGCAACCAAGGTACGTGCCCTTAGCGGGAACCGAACCCGGGTCTCTCTGGACCGCAGGCTGATGTTCTAACCACCGAGCCAAACCGGCCAGGGTGACATTTAGATTCTTATCCTCAACTAAGGCCCAGTGGGCCAGAGCGGCGGCCCCTACACGTTGGTCTGCGGTGCACACACCGACTGCGTGCTCAGTTTTCACAGGAGCGTGTTCGATTCCCACGAGAGTCCTGTATGCTGGACTTGCATCCTTCCTACTCTTTTGGACTCCCACAGCGCTTTTATGACACGAGACGGGAGGGCGCGTGGATGTGTTTCAACAGCCTCACTTGGAAAAGTCTTTTCCTAAAAGCGCGAGGTCCCCACGGCGCCCAGGCCTCTCCAGGGGATGCCCACCAGTCGGCTGGCGCTGCAGGGCCTGGCTCCAGCACCAGCCTGCTTCTGAGCCACCAGTTATCTAGGGAGCAGCCTGCTCCCCCCAGGCGTGGGTGGGCCCGGAGGAGGGACAGGTCTGACCAACCAGCCAGCGCACACCCGCGGAGGGGCCGGGCGGCTCAGCCCGATGACGAGCGAGCAAGCAAGGCGTGAGTCAGCGCGTGGTCGCCGGGAAGGGTCCTACAGCTAGTGGTGGGAATTCTGCTCTGGAAACACGGAGCCCTCCCGCTGTCCCGTTCCTCCCGCTCTGTCCAGCGTGGGGCGCTGTGGAGAGGCCGACGAGCGGGGCCTCCGACTCCAGGAACAGCGTGCAGAGATCCCTACAGGCCCCTCCTCTCCTGTGTGCCCTGGGTGGTGCTGGAGGAGCCACCTGGACGAGCCAATGGGACACACAAGACAAGCTCCTCTCTCTGACAGGCCAGGGGCAGCCGCACAAGGTAGAACACTTACAGACAAGAACTGCTCCCCCCAGCAAACACCACAGAAAACATGCGGTCCAGCCTCTGCCAGAGAAGGCAGAGTGGGGAGCCCAGCCCCCACCCTGTCAGACTGCAGCAGGTGGCTGCTGCGTCCCCCTGGGAGCAGGTGTGAGGGTGGCCAGAGGAGGCCTACCGGAAGGTCCGGACTCTCCACTGTGCAGAGGCAATGAGGCCACACACACACACACACACACACACACACACACACACAAAACAGAAGACTTAAATCTTAACATACCGACAACTACACTAAATGTAAATGGTCTAAACAGGTCAATGAGAAGACAGGGACTGGCAAAGTAGATGAAAAACATGACCCAACCATATGCTGACCACAAAAAACTCATTTTACACTAACGAGACAGGAAGGTCAAAGGTAAAAGGCTGAGAGAGGAGACGCCATCGAAACGATAATGTAAAGAAGTAGAATGGCCCTGGCCGTGTGGCGCAGCGGTGGGAGCATCGTCGGGGACACCAAACGGCTGCTGGTCCCATCCCTGGCTGGGCGCGTGGGGAAGGCCGCCTCGTTTCTGGTTCTCCATCTCTGTCTTTCACTCTCTCCCACCTCCCTTCTCTCTCAAATCAATAAGCACGTCCTGGGGTCAACAGAGAAAGCAGGTGGGATGCTCCATCAGGAGCAGATAAAACAGACTTCTGAGAACAGACAGCGTCATCCGTGAGGATACGGGCCCATCCACGAGTAGACAGCAAACCCAAATGTACACCAAACAACAGGCCTCCCCAAACTGCAGAACTGGGGGGCAGACAGAAAGGCTGAGACTTCAACACCCTTCCTTCAACGAGCAATGAACAGCCCGACAGGAAGTCCGCCGGGAGCAGTCCCTAATACCGTCACCAGCAGGGCAGACGGAGGCTCCCAGAACCCCCGTCTCTTCAGACGCCCACGAACACGGACAGGGACCACACCTGGCCTCGGCAAACCCCAGCAAACTCAGAGAGATGAAATTATACAGTGTGAGCTCTGTGGCCACCGTGGAATCAAACTAGAAATCAACAACAAAAATAACAGAAAACCTTTAAATTCTTAGAAACTAAACAACACAGCTCAGAGTCTCAAGGGAAGTAACACCCAGAAGTCACAACACTGGCACCTGTAGGACACAGCCATGCATGGGGAGGGGCCGCTGGCAGGTCTGGGAGCGGGACGGGCTCCGACCACACGGCTCCCCAACACCACCTCCCCGAGGTGCCGGATCACAGATGGAGGTCAGTGGCTGGCAGGGGTGAGGGCCGGTGCTGGGGGAGGGGCGACTCTCAGGCGGCTGGAAAGGTCCCTGGGGGGGCACTTCTGCGTCTGGACGGCAGCAGCGGCCACACGACTCTACCCGTGACAACATGAGGCCACTGCACGTGCACACGGCGCAGGGGGACCGGACAAGGGCACGGGGACCTCCGTTCTGTGCCCACACTCCCTGGGAGCCTCTGACGGTCTCGGAGGAGTCTTCTGTGTGCTCTGCCAGGCACTGTGCCGGGCACTCCGGGCTCCTCCCCAGCTCAGACAGCCCTCAGGACTGGTACCGTGACCCCATTTCCAGCAGGCGCCCGGGGCACGGCTTGCCGGAGAGAAACTACGGGGCGCGCCAGGGCCCGGAGCGAGCGGGTGGCTGGCAGTGTCCGGAGGGACCTGACCGTCCCCGCTCCGGGGTGGATGCTGAGGCTGCGTCACCCAGGAACCCGGGACGGGGTTTGAATGAAGTCGGTCTCATTCTACCTGGAGACCCATTTCCAGCCCCAAGAGGGTTCCGTCCAAGAGTGTCACTGTGATGATCATTCCATCTCCGAGCTCTCAGAGTTTATTTAGTGTAGCCTCCCAGCAAAACAAGGATTTGCCCTGATACAGTCGCCCGACACTTTCTAACACTGTCTGCGGACGGGGCGAGCTGGCGCATCAGGCGGCCCCTGCGGGGAGTGTCCTCTGCCCGCAGGGAAGGGCTATGACATGCACACCGGCCAGGGCCGGGCGCCCCGGGGGAGATGCTGCAGCTGCCTCACTATGCGCTGGGTGTGCTGGCCCCTGACTGAGCACGTCCCCCACGGCTGGACTGGGACGGCAGTTCCACAAACGACCCTGGTCCTTCCCCAGGGGCACGAGAACACGAACGGCCACGTAAGGCCAGTGTGCCAACAGCGTGGTGAAGAGGACCAGGTGGAGGTCAAGTTCAGTGCTATTCATGCTCCACGGGGCAGGAGGCAGCAAGGAGCAGTGACCCCGAGGGAAATGCCGGTCCTGCTACTGGCTAACCTTGGACAGAACTGCCCTCCCTGGGTCTCCAGGTCACCACCCCTGACCGTCGTAACCTAGGCCGCGAAGCCGCCGCAGAGATCAGCCGAGAGAGGGCAGTGCCGCATCTCATTCACACCGAAGAAACACACACACGGGAGGTACTGGCAGCAGACGCCAGGCGACGGCGGTGTGGTGCTGGTCTCGGGGCAGAGGGACCGAGGGTCGCCTCGCCCCCCGCGTTCGCAGTGCTGGTCTCGGGGCAGAGGGACGGAGGGTCGCCTCGCCCCCCGCGTTCGCAGTGCTGGTCTCGGGCAGAGGGACCGGGGGTCGCCCTCGCCCCCCGCGTTCGCAGTGCTGGTCTCGGGGCAGAGGGACCGGGGGTCGCCTCGCCCCCCGCGTTCGCAGTGCTGGTCTCGGGGCAGAGGGACCGGGGGTCGCCTCGCCCCCCGCGTTCGCAGTGCTGGTCTCGGGGCAGAGGGACCGGGGGTCGCCTCGCCCCCCGCGTTCGCAGTGCTGGTCTCGGGGCAGAGGGGCCGGGGGTAGCCTCGCCCCCCGCGTTCGCAGTGCTGGTCTCGGGGCAGAGGGACCGGGGGTCGCCTCGCCCCCCGCGTTCGCAGTGCTGGTCTCGGGGCAGAGGGACCGGGGGTCGCCTCGCCCCCCGCGTTCGCAGTGCTGGTCTCGGGGCAGAGGGACGGAGGGTCGCCTCGCCCCCCGCGTTCGCAGTGCTGGTCTCGGGGCAGAGGGACGGAGGGTCGCCTCGCCCCCCGCGTTCGCAGTGCTGGTCTCGGGGCAGAGGGACGGAGGGTCGCCTCGCCCCCCGCGTTCGCAGTGCTGGTCTCGGGGCAGAGGGACGGAGGGTCGCCTCGCCCCCCGCGTTCGCAGTGCTGGTCTCGGGGCAGAGGGACCGGGGGTCGCCTCGCCCCCCGCGTTCGCAGTGCTGGTCTCGGGGCAGAGGGACCGGGGGTCGCCTCGCCCCCCGCGTTCGCAGTGCTGGTCTCGGGGCAGAGGGACCGGGGGTCGCCTCGCCCCCCGCGTTCGCAGTGCTGGTCTCGGGGCAGAGGGACCGAGGGTCGCCTCGCCCCCCGCGTTCGCAGTGCGGCAGGTGCTGCCCTCTCGTCACCAGGGCCCCAGCCAGCATCCAGACTCGGCCTCTCCAGCTCACGGTCTCCCCCACAGTCTCCCCCACGGCCGCGCCCAGCACTGCCCACTTCCCCGCCCACCGCAGTGCAAAGCCAACAGGGGGCGGAGCAGCACTACCTTCTTCAAGTCCATGATCTCGTCATACATGTCTTCCTTCTCTCTGTAGACAGGCGTCGCCGGGACGTGACCTGGAGGAAGACACACAAGCCTCTTAAAAGATCTGAAGAGGAGAAAGAATGTTTGGCTACATCTGAAGAAAACCTGGAAGGTGACAAAACTACCCTGAAAAGAGAGCACGGGTACTTCAGTGTGTGTGGTCTGATGGTGACGCTGCCCCGAGGTGGGTGAGAAGGGCAGCGCATGGGGGAGGGGAGGGGGAGGGGTGTGAGCGGCCGGGCCAGTGAAGGGTGAGGACAGGGTCCACGGAGAAGTGATGTGTGTGTATTTTAAACAGCAAACAAAACAGAAAGACAACAAACAATGCTCATAGCAGACGACCCCATTCCGATGTCCAGACTGGAACGTGAGCTCTGGCCTCACTGACACTAACACACTGGGGCCCTGCGACATGCCGGTCGGTGAGCAGGTGATGGCCACGGTGCAGGAAGGTGCCGCCAGGGAAGGCCGAGGGGACAGTGGGGACAGACCAGACGGGAGGACAGAGCCGTGAAAACCCACCCACCCTCCCCGGGCCCTTTAGCACTGTCTGTGACTCATTCCTAGTGTCGTCGATGCAATCGATGTGCGTGAGACCCTCCGCTTGGGGAGGCAGGAACAAGGGAAGTCTGGGATGCTGTCGCTGTCCACCTTAGGAAGACCACTTCCCGGGGGGCGGAGTGGACTCCGGGGCTCTGTCCTCAGGGCGCTCACACAGGAGGCCCGACTCTCAGCCCTTCCTGTCCGCCCCGTCGCGCGCGTCGGCCTCGCGGGCTCACCGTTGCTGGCAGAACGCCTGAGGGCTGACCTCTTCACTCTCAGCGCCTCCGTCAGAGAGTCGGGGGTGCTGCCGGGGGGGTGGGTCCAGGCGTGCTCCCAGGCGAGGCCTGACTTCGGGGGCTGGGTCACACTTCCTGCTTGGAGCGTGCACGGTTTAATGGGACAGGCGCAAGCAAACACAGTGGCGGCCCTGCCTCTATCTTCCTGGCGTGAAGAAAGCGTGGCAGCCAGGGGACAGCGGCGCCGGTGGTGAGCTGCAGATGTTCAGCAGCTGGCTCTCAAAAAAGAGGAAAGCCCGACTTGTAGCCTCTGCCGTTCCCACGGCATGCGTGTTCCCACCACAGCCAAGTCCGAGCCACAGTGTGCTACTGACCGGCTCCCAAAACTCCCAGCAGCGTGGACAGGCCACGCGCACGCCGCGGAAACCACGCTGCCGCAGGGAAGCAAGGAGGCCCGGCGTCTCTTAGAGACTCATGAAAGCGCCCAGACGGGTCACATTAAAGCTCCATCTCCCAACACCGCCCACCATGTCTGCGGCCCTGCTCTCAGCCGGACGGGTCACTATTGGAGACCCATGTACCTGGCTTTGAACTTCCCGGCCACAGCTTCTGCGGGGTCAAGGACATTCTGTTTCCCAGACGCGTGCTCGCTGCTGGCCGCAGGGACCTCCAGGACGTCGCTGCCCTCGGCGTGCAGCGGTACGGCGACTCTGAAAGCCGGCAGACAGTTTTGGAGGAGACGTGCCCAGGCCCTCCGCCCACGTGCCCCAGGAAGACAAGAACGAGGTGACAAAGGGTTCACAGGGTCATAGCGACTCCCGCTGAAAACATTATGACAAAAACTAATATAGTGATGATACGCTTACACTTGTTTAAATTTTGTTATAAAGAATTAACAAAACGGAAAACTTATTTTAAAATGTAAATCTACCAATACTGCAATATTTAATTTTCCGTTCGATTTTTTCAGATACATACATGTTTTCACATCGTAGCAAATGCAATTCTGTATCCTTTATACTTAAAGATGTATTTTTTTTCATGTTGCTACTTAGTAATAATAGTTAGAACTTAATATGTAAAATGTCTAGAGAAAATAAAAGTAATTATACCTTTCCAGGGTATTTTTGAGTCTGTCACCAAAATGAGGGAAACATTTAAAAAATATTTTTTAGGCTGGGGTCTCATCTCTTTAGTTTAGTAAAACATGACAAATCTATGCAAAAACTGTTATTTATCAAACTTGCGTATATTAATTAAACAGCAAAGAAATTCCTATCTGTAGCAGGTCCTGAGGATCTGAGTGTAGTGCACTTAATTTCTAAATTTCCAAGCGTTTTCCACGGCTGTCAGGTCGAAGGGAATGCCCCGCTGACCAGGACGGGGACGCCTCTCGCTCACCGGCCCACGGGCCACGCCCCGGGATGTTCCGAAGGCCTTCCCACCCCCGCTGTCCAGCTCAGTGCTCACTTGTGAAAGCACATCAGTGACAGAAAAGCCCCAGTGACAGCTCCCTCTCCCTGCGCGTGGCTCACCGAGCAGCGCGAGCTCCTCGGAGGACGTGCGTGCGCGTGGGCAGAGCTGGCAGGGGGAGGGCGGGACCAGGACTGGGAAGCGCGGGTGGCTGAGAGGGAACGACGGACACCCCAGCAGGGACGCCACCGCCGCTGGCAGTGTGCCGAGCACCCACCCCAGCACGCGCGGGGCCACGAAGGCTCGCGGAGGTTACAGAGAAACGTTCAGAGTGAGTGAGCAGGACAGACACGGTCCCGCCCCGCAGCACGAAGCCCAGACAGAGCCCCTGCGGAACGAGGGGCATGAGAGACGCGATGGAGCGGAGGACGGGTGACACCTGGGAGGGTGAGGGCGGGCGTGTGGCCTCGGAACACTCGGGGAGGGGACACGGCATGTCACCGGGACCAACGCTGGTGTGGGGGACGAGGGACACGGGCATGGTGGGGAGCCACGCCCTGAGGTTTCCCATGCTTCCGGGGCTGTGGCCACTCCGATGACATGCGACACAGTCTGACGCTTCCAGAAATCGAGACAAAATAAGCTGGTGACTACTATTCTCAACACTTGAAATGCTTGACTTTCAGTAAGAACAACGAGAGGTGACCCGGTGTTTACCTGGGGACCCGGAGCCAGGAGGAGCTTGACCAGCCTCCGAAACGACGGGCCTGAGCACAAGCCCTGTGCTCCCCTCGTGCCCAGTCCCCGTGCTCCCCGTGCAGGGGAGGGTCAGAGCCCACCCTGGCCGGCTCCCTCCTAATGCTTGTGTTCGTCGGCGACAGGACACTTTCCAATTAGGATTTTCCTGGGCCAATGTGAAAGTTCCCTTGTGTCCCCTGGGCGTGTATGACGCCATACGTTTGAAATATATACGTGTGTAAACTACATATATGATAAAGTCGGGGAAGGCCCCGGGTTTTGGGGTAGCAAAAGGGAGCCAACCCAGGATTTAGAGTCTGTTACGGAGCATCCAACTCCCACCCGAACCCTGCGCACTACAGCGGTTAGGACAACAGACAGAGGTCGGCAGCCATCTGCACAGAAGGAGACCCCTATGGATGGGATCAGCACCCTTCCAAAGGGACCCCACAGAGCTGCCACATCCCTCCCGCTGCACGAGGACCAGCAAGGGGTCTGTGGCCCGGAGGGGGCCTCACTGCACCGGGCCTGCGGGCACCCCCCTCTCGGGCTTCCAGCTCCAGGCTGTGAGAAGCAGTCTGTTGTTCAGAAGCCTCCCGTCTATGGGACCACAGCCCAGACCGAGTCGGACCATCTCTGCCACGTCCTCCCTGACAGGCAGTGCCGGCCTGGCCACGGCCACGGGACGTGTCTGGAGAGCTGCCCTCCTCCTGAGGCTGCGGAGCAGAGCAATCCCGCCGGCAGAACAGGCCGGGGCGACCCCAAAGGGAAAACCCCACTCCCTCTCACCTAGCCTTGGGGCGTCCACACCTCAGTGCAGCGCCCAGACAAGCCGCTTTGCGTCTCACAGCACAAATCCTGAGGTTGAAAAAAGTCCTCTGGCCACATCCCCAAGAGCCAGGCTCTGTGAGCAAAGGAGAAACCGAAACCACAGGCCAAGCAGCATGGGGTCTGCGGGAGGCTCCGAGGCCGGTGAGAGCTCAGGGCCGGCTCGGCTGGTCCTCCCTCCGGGACCACCGGGTAGGTGGCGGCCCCAGGACTGTTTGCTCCCAAGATCCAAACACACGTGCGGACAGGCGGCCGCAGTGTCGTCTCAAAGATCCCCACTGAACCAAACATTCCGGGTCCCTCCGGGACACCAGGGGCGCGCAGCCGCTACAAACCACTTTCCGAGTGGAGGCAGAAAGGCAGGGGACGGGCAGCCTGGTCACACTTACTTGGTGATGGGGGTGGAGGCTTGTGGGAACTTTTCTTCTTTGTTTTCTGAAAGAAAGAAGCGAGGAACGCAGGTTAGGGTTCTCTAGCAGCCCCCCCGGCCCCGGCCCGGGCTCCGGCGTGTTCTGAGGAACTGGGGGTGTAAGGACAACGAAGGAGGAGACTGACCAGTGGGGACAGAGCTGGGTCTGAGCCAAGCAAGGACCATGCGGCCCAGGCGTGCTCCAGGGTGAACTGGGCTACAGAGCAGACAAGGAGGGTGCGGGACCTTAAATTCAGCTGAAGACACGTCACAGATGGTGAACCTGCCCCCCCCCCCACTGTCCTCAGGCCTGGAGCACAGGGGTGTGCTGTCCCCAAGGGCGGGCTCGGCGGGCTGACCCTGTGAACAGGGCAAGGGGCCAGGGCCTGCAGAGGAGGGGTCCTATCTGGAGAACTGTCCCCCCACAAGCAGGATGCCAAAGGCAGAGCTGTCCCACTGGGCTGCCCCATCTTGAGGTCACGTGGCCAGTGAGCGACACACCCTTCCACCTGTTCCCTCGTGGGCTTCCCACCAGGCAGGGACACCCCCTCACTTGGCTTCTAACAGAGACATGGGGTCTGGCCCAGGCAGGCTGGGTTTCACCCAGGACTTGGCCCATGTCCTCAGCGGGGCTGAGGGACAATTCTTAACCCTGCGGTGGCCCTCGCTTCAGACAACGGACCACAGAGCTGGAGGAGTGAGGTCTGCGGGTGCTGGGTGCCTTCACGTGGGTGGGCTGCAGTTGGGCTGGGGGTCTCCCGGCTGGGACTGCTCCCTCCCCTCCCTACCAGGGCGGCTGGCAGGCTTCCCTTCCCAGATGAAGCCCGAGGGCGAGAGGGGCCCAGGGTGCCTCTGGCCCCAGATCCGCCCAAGCTTCGGTCGGCCCCTCGGCCAGGCATCGCTGTGAGCCGCAGGGCGTCCTTCCCACAGCTGCTCTGAAGACGCACCTGAGCCCTGCTCCCTCACCTCACATGTCGGAATGGGGGGGGGGGGGGCAGGGCCAAAACCAGACGCAGGATAGAACTTGTCAACTGCCTCAAATGTACTCTGCCCAGGACTAAATTCTGGATAAAAGCTCTAAAATTATCATCTCCGTTACTCAGCTCCCACTGAGGACTTGCCACTTTTCAAATGCTGAGTGGCATCTGGAATCTGTACCCCAGGTCTCATCACAGCTGTGGCGGGAGCGTGCGGAAGGGAAGTCACCAGCCTCGGGACCCAGCGGCCTCCCGATCACACTCACCATCATACTCACCGTCTCAAAGTCGGAGTCAAAGGTAATCGCAGACAGACTGTCATCTCCCTGCAGGAAGAGACCAGACACTGAAACATCAAGGCACCTGCTTGGCTCCCAACAGTCACACTTGCAAAGTGGAAACAGCCCGTCCATGCTGCTGAGGCCTGGGACCCTGGAGGCCCGCAGCAGGCGGCTCGGGCGTCGGCAGGGACAGGTGGGGACACCACCAAGCTCCTCCTGCTGGGGCTGTCCGGTCTGCCCACCTAGCAGTGCATTTCCCGAGTCACAGGGGACTTTCTATCAAGAACCGGTTCCTGATCCACCTTGTTTAAATGTTCTCGTACTCATCCTCGAATCAAAGCGCCTGTGACGGGTGAGCGCCAAAGTCATGCAAAAACCACACTCGTGAACACCTGCGTCTGTGGCCAGTCAAGGTCCCTGCCTGGCCGGCCCAGTGCCCGCCCTGGCTGGGCGAGTGACATAGGTCTGTACTCCCTAATGCAGCACCTGAGTGGGGACAGCCGCCTCCGAGCCTTGGCAAAGGCTGGTCTGGGGCCTTAAACACAACCTTTGACCCACAAGTGGCTTCTGCTGACCCTAGGTGACCCCTAGGTAATTAGGCTAAAAGACTGACACCCTTTGACAGGGGTTGGCTCTTCAATCACTGGTGGTCACGCCCAGGCTCCATTTCACCCGGGCTCTGCACGTGGGGCCTGTCACGCCACGGCAAGGGGAGCACCCTGGCATGTGGTGAGCGTGCTGTGAAGTTCATGAGCACGCCAAGGCAGCCTGAGCCAAGGGGCATGGGGCACTGCACAGAGCCTGCCCTTCTGGGGTTCCTGTCAGGTGAAACACACCCCAGCTCAGCGGAGACGCCACAGTGAGCCTGGGCCAAGGGCTGAGTCTCCTAAGTGCCCTGAGAGCTGGGCACAGCCTCTTCCACAGGCTGAATTCTGCCTCTGTGCCCTCAGGGCCTGGCATGCACAGGGGACTTACCAAACGCACACGAAAGAGCCCGTCTCGTGGCAAACAATGAAAACGAAAGAGCAAAACCAGGGGAGTGGATCAATCACACAGAGGGATCCACGTTCTTGAAGACGCGTGGACACGGGAAAATGCTGACAACAGATTGGCAAAGCTCACAAGACCATATAAATCACCTAACTTTAAAAAAGGAATGGAAAAAAAGATGCACTGAAAAAAAAAATTGGGAGGAAATACACCAAACATGAACTGGTTGTCCATAGGTAGGCAGGTTACGGGTAATAAGTTCTCCACATGGTCTCCAATGGGCAGCAACGATTTTGCGTCATTACAACATAAGAAGTTGCTTTCCAAAGATGAAGGGGCAGTAACGGAGGCTGTGTAGACAGATGGGCAGGCCTTCCCGATGGGGCAGGACCCCGTGCCTTGAGTGGCAAGCAGGACACTTGCTGTTCGCAGGGACACAGCCCCCTCTGGGTGAGCTCAAAGTGCCGCTGAGCACTGCCCAAGGAAGCAAGGGCCCCTTTGCCTGGAACCCTCCGGGAGCTTCCCACTGGGCCCTGAATGAAATCCAACTCCTTGCACGGTCAGCGAGACTCTCCACGGTCAGGCCCCCTCCCCGCCCCTCCCACAGCAGACCCAGCGAGCTTTCTTTCAGGCTCTGCGGCTCCCCCCCGAAGATCTTTCCCAGGGCCGGTCCCTCTGCTCCAGAGCTCACGGGGCACCTGCAGCCTTCTCAGAGCACCTGTTCCCGACACCATCTAAAGCAGCCCTCCCATCCTGCTGGGCCACAGACCTGTTGCATGTCCCGCTTTCTGATGTGTCTCAGTTTATTGCCTTGCTCTCCCTGGCTGGCATGCGGCTCGCTCACACACACATCCAGCAGGTAGTCCTGGGCCAAAAGCACTGGGCAAAGGGGTGGCTGAGAGCCGCTTGTCCTGACCAGAGGGAGTGAAGTTGGGCGGCACTGCCTCCGGGAAGCCTTCTCAGATCTGTGCTGGGCAGGGCCCAGTCCCCTTGCCCGGCCCTAAGGCACTGGGTAGGCGGCACTTATACGAGGCCCGGTCGCAGGCGCGGAGGCGAGGGCGCTGCGTCCAGGAGGGCTTCCTGGAAGCGGCGGCCTGTGCCAGGGCGGGCGGGATCCAGAGGCGCTGGCTGGAGGCCGCACGCTTGCGGGGCTGGAGCCCGCCCTTGTGCGGTAACAATGATGGCAGCTGTCACTGGCGGCCGCCCGCCGTGCGCCCGGCCCGGCCCGGCAGACCCGGCGGCCGGAGCGGCCAGGAGCCCCGCCTACCGCGCTTACCGTCTCCGAAGCCGGGTCCCCGGTGCCCAGCGACATGGCGGCGGCGCTGCGGGCGCGGCTGTGCGGCTCCGGGGCTCCGCCGGCCGCCTGGCCGCCCGCTGCCTCCCGGCCCGTGCGCGCGCCCGCCGCGACCCCGCTGCCATGGCGACCGCGCGGCCCGCCGAGCCCCGGATGTGGCGCCCGGCGAGCCGGGCCGACCGTGCGCGTGCGCTGCCACCCCCGCGGACCGACCGGCCGCGTTCCCGGCGGTGCGGGCGGAGACCCCGGCGGCGCTGGGCGCGCGCGGCCGCCCCGCTCTCCGTGGCGCGCGGAGCCTGTGTGCTGGGCACCCGCCGGACGCCGCAGGCACAGGTCTGGCCTTTGTCCCCGGCCGTGGCGTTCAGGACAATCGCCTCCTTGGCCCGTCTTCGGCTCTGCGGTTCCGATCCAGCCACGGGCCGTGACATCATAATGGCCTGTCCTGCGCCCAGGGCCCGTTACGAAGATCTTTAGGAGCACGGGGCTCCGGGCCTCACCCCAGTTACTGCTGGGGAGTAGGACGTGCTCCTTCCCTTCCTACGGGTGTCCAAGGCACCCACCCGTCCCCCGGCCCGCCTTGTGTTTCCAGCCACCTGACACTTCCTACCCGCAAGGACATCCCCTGCCCGGGCTGGACGCTTTGTGGGGCGGGGGCTTTCTTGTTCGCTGCTGTGTGTCCCTCCTTTGGAACAGCGTCTGGCACACGGCAGGAGCTCCATCGAGTTATGTGATGTCCAGCGAGTCACCTGACTCCTCTGTGCCTGTTTCCCCCGCTGTAAACGGGACCGAAGGGTGGTTGTGAGGATGCAACAGGTCAGGATCTGTAAAGGGCCTAGAACAGTAGCCAGTTCCAAAGTGACCGCAGAGTGAGTGTGACGATGGCGCGGTGGTGATGGAAGGAGGCAGTCCTCACACCCGGGCAGTGCGGGGGAGCCTGGCCGAAGGAGCGGCCTGGGAGGTTAGTGGGGCTCTAGTACAGGTCCGTGGCCCTCTCTGCCTCAGTTTCCTCATCTGTGTAACAAAGGGGTGAGCCACGTGGTGGTGTCCCCAGGAGCAGGCAAGACAGCTGGTTAGTGGGCAGGGGCCTAGGTTTTGCAGCCTTGCCCTGGTCTCTCTGTAAAGTGGAGGTAGTTTCAGGGCTTTTGCTGGCGTCAAAGGAGATAACAGAAATGAAACTGTTGTAACCCAGGAGAGTCATCCTCACTCAGACATCAAGTAATTTTGAATATTAGGAGCTTTATTACCTGCGCAGGGACTGCAGCCAACCTACACAGAGGAGAACTGCAGCCCCAAGCTCAGGGGGAGGGTTTCTTATATAGAACAGGGGTCACTCAAGAGTTTAGCAGAGCAAGCAAGCTACGTGTACAGAAGCAGATATCAGCAGTTAGTAACTGCACAAGTTGTTTATTTTATATTTCTTAACATTTACCAGACCCTAGCCTTGAATGCCTCATTGTCCCGTCTGGCATCTCCTGATTAGTTAAGCTCATGATCAATACCCTTGTGGTCATGGCTGATGCATACCTTCCTCTTCAAGAATTTTTGCCAAAACAACTCGGGTTCAAGGAACCCAGGAGAGGTTCCTTCTTCTAGCAGATGGAGAATTACTGGATTATAAGAAAACTCAGCACAGTACCTGGCACATGGTAAGCACCTCAGAAAATGGAAGCTACCAGGTAACACTTTGACTACTTGAATGGTATTTAAAATAGTAAATTTTATTTGTTCTGAATTATCCACTTCATTTATTGGAATGCCTCCTCCGCTGTTTTCTGAGTGGTGTCAAGGAGCTGCACCTCAAGTTCTGGTTCCTTATGTAGATGTTCTCTGATGTATCCCTAAGAGAAGAGGAACTCCCTGCTCCTCCCAGCTACAGCCGGAGTTGTTTACCCAAGGCAGATCTTACCAGGCCACTCACCTGCTCAACAACGTCCACTTGCTTCCTCGGGGTGTTTTCTAGGGTCAGACGAGGGCTTTCCCTACTTAAACTACCTAGGCTGCATGCCCCTCCCCTCCTGGGGCTGGGCAAGCTCCCTGCTCTTCCTGCTTTTGCTGTTCCACTTACTTGCTTTCATTTAATTCTAGAGACAGTACAGGTCTACGGCCTTATATCTGCCGTTCTGAATTCTAAAAACTTTTTAAAACGTTCACAATGCCTATGTTGGCAAAACCTGTCCTGACCTCAACTCACTTGTGGACAAAAATCTGTGCCGAGCCCTGGCCAGTGAGGCTCAGTGTTTCCAGTGTCGGCCGATGCACTGAAGGGTCTCAGATTTGATTCTGGGTCAAGGGCATGTACCTGGGTTGCAGGTGCAATCTCTGTCTGGCCAGGTCGGCACACAGGGGAGGCAACCAATCGATGTTTCTCTCCCTCTCCCTCCCTTCTTCCCTTCCACTCTTTCCAAAGATCAATGGAAAAAAATATCCTCTGGTGAGGGTTAATAAATAAATAAAATCGGGGCTGAGACTATCTAGTGATTATTCCACGTGAAGTGTGTATTAGTGTGTTTCCCCAAAAAACTATGAGTGTTTTGGATTATGGGGTGCAGCATCAGACCCTGCTGGGATTGTAATCTCATACACAACCTATATGTACCATATAACTTGCCTAAAATCTGTAAAATTCATGAGATCTGAACCATTTGTCCCCAAAAGTTTCTGGTAGGAAATTATGGACCTTATATTATATAGTATCCAACTCTAGAGCCAGACTGCCTGGGTCCAAATTCAAGCTGTGCCAACCCCCCACCCCCCAACTGTGAGATCACAGTGAGCCTCTCTGTGTCTCAGTTTCTCCTCTAGGGGATGGCAGTAGTACCCACCGTCCTAGAGTTGCTGCAGAATCACCCGAGTTTTTATGAAGTGAAGCACTTAGCACAGTGCTATCTAAGAGGATCCCCCCACGACGACTGAATCAGGCGAATAGTTGCATCCCCATTTTACAATACGGGGTCACAGTTCTGGGAGGGTAACAGTGCCGTTCAGACCTCTCCACGGGCAAGAAGTTCTAAGGGTCCCGGAAGGTGAGGTTGTCCGAAGTGGTTCCCCCATCAAAACGAATGTTTCTAAAGCTCCGTTTTTAACACCAGTAGGAATTATGCTTTCCATTTCCTTATACTTGGTGTTTCCCCAGAAATGTTGCAGAAAAACTGGTTCTCTGTAAAGGTCTTTATCCACTGGCCTTGAGAACCTCCCGCTCGCAGAGAAGGGCCCCAGAGGACCCAGTTTTGCGCCCGAAGGACCTTGGACTGTGCCTCATTGACAACGACGCCCCTCTGGCACGTGCTTCCCCGCCACTCCCCCAGCCCAGACAGGAGAGCCTCTGGCGGAGCAGACCACGCCCCTTCCGGGAATAGCCACACCCCTTCCATGGAAGCCCCGCCTTCCGGGCGCAAAGCTGGTCGGACGCTCAGGCACGTACCACTGAGTACCCCGTGGTGGGGGGAGATTCTCGGTCGGGGCGACCCGTTTGGCTCCGGTTTGTCCCCAACGCCTTTCAGATTGAGCTCGATACCCACCCACGCCCGGCCCTCCGGGCTCCCAGAGTGGCCTCCAGGGAGCTTCCACGGCTCCCCACGCCCGCGTCCTCGTCCTCGCCCCTCCAGGCCCGGCATGTGGCGCGGTCCGGGGCGGGGTCTGCGGGGCGGGGGCGGAGCCGCGGCGGCGGCGGCGGCGGATGGACGCAGAGCGGTGAGGCGGGCGCCGTGGAGGGGTCGCGGTCTCCGGGGCGAGCGGGGCGGAATCGGAACCGCGGCGAGAGCGGCAGAGCCGCCTGGGCTCGGCGTGCGCGGCCTGCGCCGGTCCCCGCGCCACCGCGGCCGCCGGCCCGCGATCCTGCGGACCTTCCGGGCGGCCCGGGCCCATCGCCCGCGGCGTGGTCCACAGGCCTAGGACTGACCCCGAACTGCAGGGAGGGTCCTTCCGCACGGACCTACCGCCCCCCCGGGGGACAGACGGACACCCGGCCCAGGCAGGACTCCTGACTCCACAGGGCCACTGGCCACCCCAACCCTCCGCCTCGGAGCCCTTCCTGACCCCGGGCTGTTTATAGGTGACTTACTGCACTTGGGGTGCACGTCGACGCGTTTCCACGAGGGCTCCCTGGGCCTCGCCCAGTTCCCACACGCAGGTTCGCGCCCTGGCCCGGGAGGGACGGACAGTGTGGACGGAGCGCTCCCGGGTCGCACACGCCGCTGGCCGCAGGGTTGTCTGGTGCAGACACGCTGACCCCGCACTGACACTTCCAGCCCGACTGAGCCCCGCTTGTGCAGGTGGCTGCCCCAGAAGCGCCCACACCCCGGCCTCTAGCACACCCCCCCCCCCCGAAGCCTTGGGGAGCATCCTGCTCTTACCCTCCCACCTGAGCCCAAGGGTGGCAGCTTTGAGCTCCTAAGTCCTTATGATTTCAACCAGACTGATTCCCTCCCAGCCCTGTGGCCAGGAGTCAGGGTCCTTCGTGCTGTGGACCACGTCCATCCAGCCCGCCCCCCCCAGGCTGAGTCTCTGCATCCATCCCTGCATCAGAGGATGGTGATCATCTTGGGGCCTGCTGGTGACTAGGGCTGGTGGGGTCTGGCCCTGACATTTCCTTTGCAGGAACCTCGGCATCGTCATGGACCCCGAGTGCTCCCAGCTCCTCCCAGCTCTCTGTGCTGCTCTGGCAGACCCCAGGCGGCCGGTGGTGGATGACACCTGTTTGGAGAAGCTGCTAGATTGGTTTAAAACCGTCACTGAAGCAGGTAAGGGTGAAGGTGCAGTTTCTTGACTTTTCCCAGAGGTCAGGTGGTGCACAGGACTCCCCTGTCCTGGGGAACGGGTACCCATCTGGTTGGTGTTTCTCCTTCACATCCTGAAGACCCTCCCTGGCTGCTTGGGGACACGTCAAGCGGACGCCTGAGGGAGCAATCAGGAGAGCTGGAGGTTGAAGTCCTGGCTGGTTGCAGCCACGATTCAGGCCTCCGGTTGTTCGGCACATGCTTGGAGGGCTGCAGAGGGCGTGGGCACACTTATTTTTTTGTTCTCAACGTATTTTTTGTTTTGTTTTGTTTCTTTATTAAGAAGTTGGTTTTGCCCTGGCCGGTTTGGCTCAGCGGTTAGAGCGTCGGCCTGTGGTCCTGAGAGACCCGGGTTCGGTTCCCGCTAAGGGCGCGTACCTCGGTTGCAGTTTGTCCCCGGCCCTGGTCGGTTGTGCGGGTGGCAGCCACTCGATGTGTTCCTTTCACATCGATGTTTCTCTCTCTCTCTGTTCCTCTCTCTCCCTCCCACTCTACCTGAACAAAAAAATGGAAAAATGTCCTCGGGTGAGGATAAAAAAAAAAAAAAAAAAAAAAGAAGTTGGTTTTGCTTTCTCTCTGATTATGAAAGTAACACACATTCTCTACATAAAACTTCAGCAACACAAAGGAGCACAGAGGAAAACCAAGTTACCGTCAACTTTATTTCCTGCCGGCCTTTTCCCTTAATGCAGCACGGCTGTATTTTTCTTATAAAGACCAGGTCGCGCCGTAATACAAGTTGGCGTCTTGCTTTTTCTCCCGTACCATTACAGTGGGTGTTTTCCACATGGAACAGGTTGGTTGATTGATTTTTTTCAATTGTTTTTGTCTTTATTGATTTTTAAAGAGAGAGAAAGGGAGAGGGAGAGAGAGATAGAAACATCCATGAGAGAGAACGTCCATTGGCCACCTCCTACATGCCCCCCACTGGGGATTTGGCCCACAACCTGGGCATGTGCCCTGACCGGGAATCGAACCAGCGACCTCTTGGTGCATTGGTGGATGCCCAACCACTGAGCCGCACCAGCTGGGCTCCTTTTCCATTTGAACCTGTTTTCACCATATTCTTTTGTATTTCCCATCTGTCTTTGCTCCTTTTTCCTTGTTTTTCTGCCTTCCACTCAACTCTTTCTTCTGCTTTGAAGTTGCTCGTCCCACCTGTTCTTTAGTTGTCATGCTCATGCGCAAGCCGGAGGAGAGTCACCAGAGTCCCTATGCTCCGCGCAGACAGTCTAAGGACCCTGGAGCTGTGGCTCCGCCGGCAAGACCGTCCCTGTTGTTCCTGTCCACTGGTCTCTGCTTCCTGCTGCTCCCCTCTTCCTGGCTCTGTCCGCTACTTACTGCAGCTTAGTGTTCGGAAGTTCTCGTCCGGGACTCTCCCGCCTTCGCCCGAGTCGCCCTTCCCCGCTTGGTACACGGCAGCGAACGTTTGCTGAGTGTAGGATTTCAGGTGCCGGGTCTGGGTGAGAAGGCTGTACTTCTTGCATTAAGTATTCTCGGTTTAAGGAAAAAGTGCCTGCCCATTTGAGAGGGGAACATGGTCTCCTGCCCCAACTTGCTTTTGTCCCATAATCAGCAAGACAGCATCTTTTCCAGTTGGCTGGCCGTCCGTACTTCCTGTCTGCGCTCTGCTTGTGTGGAGGTGTTGGCTTCTGGTTTGTTCCTTGCGTTGGGTCCTGAATTCATCGTTGCAGTTGTTGCAGATCTGTTCTCGTTAGACTGCTAAAGGCTCACGAGAAAAGGGTCTGGGAGTTGCCAGAAGAGCAGTCCCTGTGGGCACACAGCTGTGTCCCTGTGACACGCTCCCTGGCTGGGCCTGTGTCAGGGTCCAGTCTGCTGCTGTTGCAGGACAGCCCGTGCCTGGTGGAGCTGCTGTTCCAGGTGCTGAAACCCCAGGACCTGAGCCCCGGAGTCCTCTCCTTCTCTCTCCGCCTGGCGGGCACGCTGGCGGCGCAGGAAGACTGCTTCCAGTACCTTCAGGTGAGCCGGGTCCTGCACCGGCCTGGCCGCTGGGCGGTGCCTGGCTTCTCTTCTCCTGCAGGCACGGGAAGCGGGAGTGGCTGTCGCCGCCCCTCGGTCTCTGAGCTGTTGCTTGTCTTCTGAAGAGTTTGCATGGGGGCAGGGGGCAGGCCCGACACAGACGGCACGCTGGGACATCGGGTGGGGACACCCAGAAGTGGGTGGTGCTCTGGCAGACCGCACAGGCCAGGGTCAGGAGGGCAGTAGGCTCAGTGTCATGGTCACAGGTGGGCCTTTGGCGGTGAAGCTGGTGGTGCTGCCTTGAGGGCGGGGTTTCTGAAGTGAACGTAACAGGCTCGAGGAGCCTTTATTTAAAACCCGGCACTCGGGGCCACCTGCCACCTGAGGAGACCAGCCAGGTCCCCACTTTCCTCTCCCCTTCCAGCAGGGGGAGCTGCTGCCCGGGCTCTTTGGGGAGGCGGGCCCCCTCGGTGGGGCGGCCTGGACGGCGCCTACAGTGCGCAGCGGCTGGATCCGGGGCCTGCGCTCTCTGGCACAGCACCCCAGTGCCCTGCACTTCCTGGCTGACTGCGGTGAGTGCCCGCCCCCTGCGGCCTTGCCGTGTGGCCCCGGGGAGGCCTCTGCACCTTGCTGGCCTCTTCTCTGAAAGTGGCTGTGGTATCAGGGGTGTTGTGAGACTAGCTTGGGGTGACTGGGGAGCTAGAGGCCCCTTTAGAGTGAGAGCATCCTTCAGCTCGTCAGTGAGACCCAGCAGCTGGGCGGCTGTGGAGCTAACGAGGAAGAGTGGTGCTGATCACCCCATGAAGCTCCAGCTCAGATGCTTTGGCTTCTGAGCAGAGGACAGCTGGCCTCTGGTGGTCCCTCGGCAGTTGGCGGTGTCAGCCCCCCCACCCCGAGGTTCTGGACTCTGCTGAGGGAGGCCACTTGGTGCTGTGGCGTCTGCGGTCTGTGGGCACCCCTCCCTGCTGAACCCCTTTCCTCTCCCCTCCCCAGGTGCCCTGGACACCGTCTTCTCCCTGCAGGGAGACCCCAGCCTGTTCGTGGCCTCGGCGGCCGGGCAGCTCCTGGGGCACGTCCTGGGTCTGTCTATGCGAGACCAAGCCGAGGGGCACCGCAGCCCACAGGCTTGCGACTGGCCGGCCTGTGCCCAGAGGATTGTGAGCCACATTGAAGAGTCCCTGCGCTCTTCTGCCACCCCTCAGGTCACACAGGCCCTGAACGTCCTGACCACCACGTTCGGGTACTGCCACAGCCCTCGAACACACGTCCTCTGGGCGCAGCTGAGTCCCCATGTGGCCTGTCTGCTGGAGAAAGACCCCGTCCCAGCCGCACACTCGCTGGTGGATCTCCTCCTCAGTGTGGCCCGGTCAGGTCCCCTGGGGTGCAGCCGGGGGTGGGGGGTGGGAGGCCGGCGTGGGACACTTGCTTTACCTGGGAAGCCTTCGGGCAGCTGTTACACCTGGGGTGCGTCTCATTGGCTCCCCAGAGCGCTGCCTCGGGTGGAGGAGACCTGGGGTCCACAGCCCACGTACCTGGGAGGCCCTTCCGTCTCCGCTGGGCACACCCAGTTGTGGGGTGTGGCAGTCCCCTGGGGCGCTGTGTGGGCTTTGGTGGCAGGACAGAATAACGTTCTCTTCTGGGTCTTTCTCTGCAGCTCTCCTGCGCTGAGCTCCGACTGTGACCTGTGGGAGATGTTGGCGCAGACTCTGGGCCGTCTGAGCCCCGCACAAGCAGGGCCTTTGGCTCTGGGGGTCCTGAAGCTGCAGGACTGGTGAGCATGGGGTTCATGGTTTTGGGGCTGGCAGGTATTGAGCATGGCCCTCGTGGTCAGGAGATGCAGGGAGCTCCACAAGTTAGAAGACAGTCAGAGGCCGCCATCTGGGGCCTGCCAGGTTTGCATGGCCGGGCGGTGTGTGGCAGGCAGTGCATGGCGGGTGGTGTGTGGCCGGGCAGTGCGTGGCAGGCAGTGTGTGGCCAGGCGGTGTGTGGCAGGCAGTGTGTGGCCGGGCAGTGCATGGCGGGTGGTGTGTGGCAGGCAGTGTGTGGCGGGTGGTGTGTGGCCGGGCGGTGCATAGCGGGTGGTGTGTGGCAGGCAGTGTGTGGCCGGGCGGTGCATAGCGGGTGGTGTGTGGCAGGCAGTGTGTGGCGGGTGGTGTGTGGCAGGCAGTGTGTGGCCGGGTGGTGCGTGGCGGGTGGTGTGTGGCCGGGCAGTGTGTGGCGGGTGGTGTGTGGCAGGCAGTGGGTGGCCGGGCGGTGCGTGGCGGGTGGTGTGTGGCAGGCAGTGGGTGGCCGGGTGGTGCGTGGCGGGTGGTGTGTGGCAGGCAGTGGGTGGCCGGGTGGTGCGTGGCGGGTGGTGTGTGGCAGGCAGTGTGTGGCCGGGTGGTGTGTGGCAGGCAGTGCGTGGTGGGTGGTGTGTGGCGGGTGGTGTGTGGCAGGCAGTGTGTGGCCGGGCGGTGCGTGGTGGGTGGTGTGTGGCAGACAGTGTGTGGCCGGGTGGTGCGTGGCGGGTGGTGTGTGGCAGGCAGTATGTGGCCGGGTGGTGCGTGGCAGGCAGTGCGTGGCGGGTGGTGTGTGGGTTATTGATGAGGCATTGGTGCAGGCCACAGCCTCCGCCATCTCTTCAGAGACAGAGTCACTTTCTCCGACAGAACTTTGTGGGCTCTGCAGAGATCAACAGACTCGTGGCTTCTGTGCCCAGAGTGAGGCTGGGTTTGCACCCAAGACCACTCCCTCTGCTGGCCTCTGCCCCTCCTGGTGGCCTCAGCCTGTGGGTCCTGGGCCCCTGGCGTGTGCACACCCCTGAGTGGGAACTGGGGTTCGTGGGGCAGTGGAGAGCACACAGCAGGCAGGGTCGGCTGGACAGCTTCCTGGCAGGAGCGGGCTGTGCGCCCTGCCCGGGCACGGGCATGGCGTCCGAGGGGCAGGGAGGATGAGGAAGGCAGTCCAGGGTTCTGGGCAGAGGAGAACTGGCGGGTCAGACCAGGCCGGGTGAAGGCGGCCTCAGGACCTGCTTCCCAGAGGGGCGGAGGGACCTGCGAGCCCGGCTCTGGCCCAGGGTCTGGGTGCTCCGAGGGGGGGTGTGCAGGGTGCGCGGGCAGCCGGCCTGGAGGGAGCTCTGCCCTCATAGCCTTGCACCCCATCTCGGGCCAAGCACTTGGGCAGGACCGTCCGTTGGGGCGGGTGTGGCCAGGCTGTCTGGGGCGTCTCCTCGCAGCCCCGTAGTCCCAGCCCGTGGTCAGGGTTCTGGTCCCGCCTGCTGTGAAGCTGGTTCTCGGGGTGTCGGGGTGCTGGCCCCAGCCCTCTGCCCTGGGCTTGCTGGGCTGTTTGGAGGGCAGCCAGCCTGCCTGGGTCAGGGAGTGGGGCCCACTGTGTCCTCTGTCGTCAGTCCACAGACACTGAGGGGACAGGCCTTCGATGTCCTCCTCCAGCCCCTGGCCTGTGTCTGGAAAGCGGCTGCTCAGGACCCTGGGTCTCCAGGTAGGCCACTCGGGAGGGTGCTGGCACTGGAGGGGCTCTGGGTCGGGCAGGCTGGTGGGCAGCGGGCACTCACCGCCCGACTCGGCGCGCAGGAGACAGGACGCGGGCCAGTGCGCCGGCTCTGCTGCGGCTCGTGCCTTCCGTCCTTCCCGAGTCGGGGCATCGCCAGGCCCGTGGCGGCCCCTGAGCAGCGGGCCTTTCTTGCCCTGCTCCGGCCTTGGCAGGGTCTGGTCCCTGAGCCAGACCAGAGCACGGGCCTGGCACTTGTCTGCCCAGACACACCTGGGTTTGTGACTTGTTGCTTCTGCCACGTGACGGGTCAAGGATCAGAGACGAGCCTGCTGCCCAGGAGTGGGCTGTGGGCAGCAGGGGTCGACTTCTGGAGTCCTGTGGTCAGGCTCCGACCCCAGCGCTGGTCGGCTGAATGTCACCTGGGGACACCACCTGCTTGGAACCTCTGGTCCTAGTCTGACGCAGCGGCCGCGGAGGTGGTGTCCACAGTGAGGCGTGTGACGGCCCACAGGGCAGCCTAACCAGGAGCTGTTTCTGGCCCAGCTGCAGGCTTGCTGGCCGGGCCCGAGGGCGACGCGGCGGTGGTGGACGCGCTCCTGTCCTCCCGGGCCGCCTGCGTGGGTCTCCTGTGCCAGACCCTGGCCCACCTGGAGCTGCTGCAGCCGCTGGTAGGTGTGGCCTCGCCTGCGTCCCTGCGGCAGCAGGCCCTCGGCTGCACTGACCCGCCCTTTCCCCCCTCCCCGCAGCCCCAGCGCCCCTCGCCCTGGCCCCAGGCACCCCTGCTGGGGGCCGCGGTGACCGTCCTGCGGTTCTGCAATGGCTCAGCCATCCCTGCCTCTGACGTGGGGGGCCGCCTCTGCGCGATCCTGGCCGGCTGCGTCCGGGTCCAGCGAGCGGCCCTGGACTTCCTGGGGACTCTGTCTGCGGGGACAGGTGAGCCTCCTCGCTCGGCTCAGGTTCCGAGCGAGCCCCCAGCCACTGCCCGCTGCTCCGAGATGGTCCTGCCCCCGTGGACGTGCCCTCCTGTGCCGGGGAGGCCCGGGCAGGGTGGCGGGGTTTCACCCAGCACGTCTGTCCCAGGCCCCCCGGAGCTGGTGCCGCAGGTGTTTGCTGTGCTCCTGGACCACCTGGAGAGCCCCGACTCCAGCCCCACGGTACAGGCCTGGGGGGCGCAGGCGGGGACCCCTGCAGTGGCTTCCCAGGGGCAGGACGACTGCATGGGTTCTGCCCAGGCCCTGGCACAGTGAAGCTCAGTGCTGGGGCACGCTGGGCCGGGAAGGCAAGGCAGGTGCAGGCTTCTCGGGGGGCGAGGTGACCTGGGGCCGAGCTGTTCCGTGAGCGCGCCCGCTCTCCGGCCCACGGGCGAGTCAGCCTGGTGGGTGCGCAGCGAATGCACACACGCCCCTGAGCGTGGGGAGCGGTGGGCAGGGGCCTCCCGTTCCGGGGCTTTGAGGCAGAGGTGCCTGGAGTCTCTGTCTCGGGGCGGAAATGGCATTTCCCCGGAGCGAGTTCCAGACGGCTGCCTCCCGCCCTCCTCTGTCGTCTGGGAGCCAGTCTGCTTCCTGAAGCTTCGGCCTCGCGGAGAAGCCCGTGCTCCCTGTCCCACGGCCGCCCCATGGTGCCCAGGGCAAGGGCAGGAGCGCGGTGGGCGGTGGGCGGATGGGGCAGGGCGGCTCCCTCCCCGCCCTGCAGCCGCACTCTGCCCGCCCAGGTTCTGAAGAAAGCCTTCCAGGCCACGCTCAGGTGGCTGCTGAGCTCGCCCAAGCCCCCCGGCGGCTGCGACCTGGACCCCCACACCCAGCTGTTCCTCAGAGGTAACCCAGCCCTGCCCAGGGGTGCACCGAGGAGCCGCGGGGTGGGGCAGCGGGGAAGGAGGAGGTGGGCGGCGAGGCCGGGCCACTCTGAACCACCCTCCCGCCCCAGAGCTTCTCCCTGTGCTGCAGAAACGCCTGTGCAGCCCCTGCTGGGAGGTGCGGGACTCGGGCCTCGAGTTCCTGGCCCAGGTGGCCAGGCGCTGGGCAGGTGAGTGCGAGCTGTGACGACGCTGGTCACCTCGGGTTGGCTTCGGAAGCCTGGACCGCTGCCCTCGGGAGGGAGCTGTGGGCTCAGCCTTGGTGACAGCGGACTGGTGGTCGGCCCCCAGGACAGGCCGGCTTCAGACGTGCGCTGCTGGCCTCCGAGGTGCCCGAGCTCACGGAGCAGCTCCTGCGGGACCCTGAGAGTTACGTGCGAGCCAGCGCGGTGACCGCCGTGGGGCAGCTCTCCAGCTGGGGGCTGCACGCCACCCCCGCCGGCCCTGGGCTCCCGGAAGGCCCGCAGGTAGGCGCTGGGTCCTGGCCGTGCAGTCCACTCCTGACAGTGTTTGACGCCCAGCATGGGCGATCTGGGACCGGGGCTCTGTCGGGCATGTCCCCGAGTCTCCCGCTCAGCCGCCCAGCACCCTTCACGTGGATACAGTCACCCCCAGTTGACGGATGAGCACATACAGGGCGAGCGGCGCGTTGCGCAGCCCGAGACCTGCATGGGGGTTCCGGGCCCTCCCTGTTGTGCCGTCAGTGGGTGCTCTGCCCACCGTCCCCTCCCACCCTCCTCCTTGTCTTCCAGAAAAGCCTGCTCCTGGACCTTCTGCACGTCCTCTCCACGGACTCGGAGGGTTTCCCCCGGAGGGCCGTCATGCAGGTCTTCACCGAGTGGCTGAGGGACGGCCATGCAGAAGTGGCCGAGGACACGGAGCGCTTTGTGGCGAGGGTGCTCCAGGTGGCGAGCCGGGACCTGGACTGGGAGGTCCGGGCCCAGGGCCTCGAGCTGGCGCTGGTGTTCCTGGCTCAGACCCTGGGCCAGCCCGGCTCCCACTGCCCCTACGCTGTGGCCCCCGCGGAGGAGATCCCCCCTGGCCGGCTGGCCCAGGCCCTGCGGGCGTTCTGCCGAGTGCAGCTCTTCGAGTTCGCCTTTCGAGCCTTGTTTGACTGTGACCGACCCGTGGCCCAGAAGTCCTGTGACCTCCTCCTCTTCCTGCGGGACAAGGCCGCTCCCTATGACAGCTCGCAGGAGGCAGGGGGCAGCCCCGACGTGGCCTCCGTGGAGGCCGCCCTGCAGAGGTGGCGGGCAGGTGAGCAGGGCCAGCCCCTGGGGCCCCTGGAGCCTGAGGCCGCGGTGGCCGTGCTGAGGTCCTTGGACCTGGAGGGCCTCCGGGGGACACTGGCTGAGAGTAGCGACCACATGGAGAAGAGCCCCCGGTCGCTTCTGCAGGACGTGCTGGCCACTGTGAGCGTCCTGGGGGACAACGAGGCTGACTGCTACTGAGGCGGCCCGGCAGCCCCCGCCCGCCGCTGGGCTGCTCCCTTCGCGGTCCCGGGCCTGGCTGCTCAAGGGACCCTCGGGAGCCGGGGCCGGGCAGACCAGCAAGGTCAGTCACACATTTTGATGTGTTATTAAAGTGGCTTGTTTTCTACTGAAATAAACGGCCTGTGACAGGGCCACTGAGTCAGTGTCGTGTTCTAAGACGCCGGGCCTGGTGGGACCCCCTGTAGGACAGGCCCCTGCTCCTGGGTGGTAGGTCCCCTCTTGGGCCGCACTTTGCCTCGGGGATGACCATGGGTCAGAAAGCAAATAGCTCAGACGGGACAGTGTCTGGCTTTGGACCCTGGTCTCTCATGATAGTGACCGAGCCAGGTTTCCAGCCTCTGAATCCCCAGAATCACCCCGAGTTTGTAGCGATTCAAAGCTCACTGCCTCGACCAGGCAGGTAGAGTCGCTGGTGGTGATACTGCTGAGATCCAGGTCGGTCCCCAGATGACCACACAGGTGCACCAGCCTGGCCCTGCCTTCCCGGCAGGGTGGCCCTGGGTTGAGTCACTCTCTCTCAGAGCTTGTTTTCCTGTCTGCAAACAGGGATTTTTGCCATTTCCTCCCAAAGGTAACATCCTCGATTTAAAAAAAATTTTTTTTAAATACTCACCCAAGGATATTTTTCCATTTATTTTCAGAAAGAGGGGAGGGAGAGAGAGAGAGAGAGAGAGACATCGGTGTGAGAGGGACACATTGACTGGTTGCCTCCCGCATGACGCTGACCAGGGCTGACGACGAACCGCAACCAAGGTGCGTGCCCTTGGCCAGAATCGAACTCGGGACTCTGGTCCCTGGGCCGACGCGCTAACCTCTGAGCCGCAGCGCCAGGCATGTCCTCGTGTTCGGAAGCACCCGGAGCAGACAAACAGCAGGAGAAACGTAAAGATACTTGAACTAAATGGAAACACGGCACCAGCGGTGGGACGGGCAGGAGCAGGGCCGAGGGAAATGACAGCAGCGAGTGCTCACATCCGAAAAGAAGCCCCTGAAGTCGGTGAGCTTCCACCTCGAGAAAACGGGACGTGAAGACCGAGTTAAATCCAAAGTCGGCAGCAGAAAAGAAATTAAGATTAGAGCAGAAATCGACTTCAAAACCCGAAATCAATAGAACCGTCTGAACCACAAGCTTGGCTCTTTGACCAGTAGATCAATAAATTAATAAGCCTCTAGCCACGCTGAAATAGAGGGGGCGGAAATGGAAGGGGGGTCGCCGTGGACACTGGAGGGGTAACGAGGGAACGCTAAGGACAGGTCTACGCCCACAGCTTTTTTTTTTTTGCTTTTTTTTAAATCCTCACCTGAGGACATTTTTCGATATTTTGTTCAGATAGAGTGGGAGAGAGAGAGAGAGAGAGAAAGAGAGAGAGAAACATCGACGTGAAAGGGACACATCGAGTGGCTGCCACCCACACAACCCAACCAGGGCCGGGGACAAACTGCAACCAAGATACGTGCCCTTAGCGGGAACCGAACCCGGGTCTCTCCGGACCGCAGGCCAACGCTCTAACCGCTGAGCCAAACCGGCCAGGGCTACGCCCCACAGCTTTGACCACCTAGAAGAAGTGATCAGCTCCTCGAAAGACATCTGCCAAAACCCATTCAAGAAGTAGATAATTTGAATAGACCTGTTGCTATTAAAGAAATGGGGTTAGTAATTAATAACCTTCCCAAAGAGAAAGCACTTGGCCCAGATGGGTTCCCTGGTGAACTCTAGCAAGTATTTAAGGATGCAGTTATACCCATTCACAGTTGCTTCTGGGGGGGGACCGGGGGAGGGACTGTACCCTGAGTTGCTTGCCAAGGCCAGCATCAGTCACCCTAACACCAAATCCAGGCAGACATTCTAAGAAAACGAGACCTTTATCTCTCATGAACGTAGATGTAAAAACCCTCAACAAAGTAACGAATCCAGTGACGTATGAACAGAATCCTCTGCACGACCAAGTGGGGTTTAGCTCAGGCAGGCAAGGCTGGTTCAACCTCCGGTCACCAGAGGAAGAAGGACTAGGAGAATCAAATGGGGGTTTTACGGGCAAGGCTCAGAAGTCGCGCGTCCTCCGCAGCCCTGGTCCAGACGGCGTGTGGCACGCCCAGTGGCGAAGCAGGCAGAACGCTGCGGAGGAGGAACACCACCCGCCCTGTCGCCTGTGCTTCCCAACAGGCCGCTTGTGGTGTCTTCCTCAGGGTCCTTCTTGGTCACCTCTAAGTGTGTGCTGCTCACTGCCTCCGAAAAATGGGGTTCTTGGAGGCCTAGGGCGAGGGGCCTCTCCTGGGGAGGAGCTCAGCGCGGACCCGGGGCCCAGACGCACTGCCCCATGCAGGGCACACACCCCGGGGTCTCGAGTCAGTGCCTGGGAAGGACTCGCTCCCACATCTCAGGAACTGGTTCTCACCAAGTCAGCCCTTCCCGTGCTCCCTGGGTCTGGAACAGAAGGAGGGTTAATTTGGACCCACTCCCACCCTACAAACAGCCCTTTGGGTGTCATTTAAGCTGGGTACCCCCACTGTCCCCTCACTGACCAGGTGCTGGGCTAAAGGGCACCAGCCAATCAGAATTGCAGCCGCTGAACAGCACGGTTGCTAGGCAGGTTTCCCGGTGAAAGCAGGCTGGATGAATTACCTGGCCAAGCATCTCACCGCAAGCAGTGGGACACGCTGGGTGGCGTCCCCGGAAGCCTCAGTCTGGGAACACGATGTGACAAGATGGGGGAAAAGGGCACTCAGGTCCCAACCCCTCCCGGAGGGGCCCGGTGGGGCCGGCTCAGCTTAGAGGCAGGGGCAGCAACCCTGAGCCACGGTCCTGGGACCAGGGACCACATTACTCACGTTCTGACCTAATGCGTGGTCACCCGGGAAGTGAAATGTTTCCACACCAGTGTCCGTGAGGCGGCCAGACGCTGACCACACCCCCGTCCCAGCTCGTCCTGGGCCTCGGGCAGGTGGCCCCTCTCCCACCTGAGCACCGAGGCTCCCCCAAGGCGGAGGAGGGCCCTGTACCCGCCGGTCTGCGCCCTCAGCACACAGGGCCTCGGGCACTCGCCTGTGCTGCCTGCGTGAGGCTGGGTGGCAGCTGGCCAGGGCCCTTGGAAACGCCCGTCGCTACAGCTGTGGAACAAGGAACCGTTGAGGTTCCAGTGACTTGAAAGGGTCTGGGCCAGGCTGCTGTTCGGGGCGCTCTCCGTGCACCCGGAGTCAGCGTGGGGCTAGCTGGTCTAGGAGGGCTCGGCCAGGACAACCGAGCGGTGGCCCAGGCTTGCTGGCCCCTGTTGCAGAGTCTGAGCGGCGGGAGCATGTGTGTCCCCCGAGGCCCAAGCTCAGAACTGGAGAGTGTCACCTCTTCCCCTTTACGGGCCAAAGCGAGCCCGATGGAACGGTGAGCAGGCACAGGTGGTTCAGGAAGGGCGAGGAACGCGGTCCAGCACAGAGGGGGAGCCCAGCATCCATCCTGCAGAGCCAACCTCCTCAGAGTGCTCAGGGAGCCCCTAGTCTCCTGGGATGGGCCCTCAGTGGGGTGGCAAGGACTCAGGACGCAACCCCGAGCCCCCCGTGAGCCAGGCCCATGTGTCAGCTGCCTTGCAGCCAGCACAGGTTTGTTGAGTGACTGAGTGACCTAAGGGAGCTCCTGCAGCCTGGGGCCTGAGGAACAGCCCAGAGCTGCCTTCTCAGGGAGCCAGCCTAGATCAGGGCGGGGAGGGACCTCCCTACTCCCCGCCTGCCTGGAGACCTCAAGTCCCCTCCGTGGAGACCGTCTCCCCTGCACTGTCTGCTCCTATCTGAGCCAAGATGTGTCGCCATGGAAACCACTTGGCAAACACACGGCAGGCAGAGGCGGGGCCTGCGGGAGGACCTCGGCGGGCTGGCGTGAGCGAGCCCACCTGTGTGCCCGGTGTGCGGGGAGCGAGGGCCCTGGTGAGCGGTGTGGCGGGGAGGGGTCAGAGTGTGCGCACCGTGTGCACGAGGGGGTTCTCCGCGCGTGCACGGAGGAGGGGTGCTGGGAGCGTGCAGAGATGGGGTCCACGTGCCGGCTCTGATTCCTGGCAGTGCTGCCACCTCAGCTGAGCGCTCACTCCGGGAACAAGAGAGCTGTGGCCGCTGCCCAACCCCCAGAGGGCCGCCATGGGCCAGGACAGCCGCTGACCAGGTAACCAAGTGTCAACGGCAGCAGCTGGCAAGGGGGCTTCTGGGAAGAAGCAGCTTTGGACCTGGGACCTGTGTCCAGTGGGAGTGGCCCAGGTGAGGGGAGGGGAGGGGGACAGGTGTGCGGGGCGGAGGCCTGGAGGCAGGCGGGAGGGAGGGAGGAGCGGGGCAGACGCAGACAGCGGTGAGGGCGGTGGCCAGGACTTGCATGGCCGGGGCTGCACCCAACTTAAGAAACTCAGCTGGGGCTGCAGGGTGCCAGGCGGAGGGGTGCCTGCTAGACAGAGGGACCCCCCCAGGGAGAAAGTGCGGGGCTGGGATGGCCAGGAGCGTGCTGACATGGCCAGGGCGGGGTGTAGGGGTCACGGCAGTCAGGGGCAGGCTCCAGAGGGGAGGTTGGACTTTGTCCTGAGAACAAGGGTGGTCCTTGAAAGGCATCTGCAGGGCACGAGGCTTCATCAGCTGCCATGTGTGTCTTGGAAACGGGGCGCCTTGAGCCATCCGCTGAGGACGGGTGGCCTGGCCTGAGGTGACGGGGGGGGGGGGGGGGTGCCGGCAAGGGGAAGAGGGAGGGCAGGGACAATGTGGTACCAGGAGGGGATGCTGCGGTGAGAGGGGCCTGGCGGGGAGGTTTGGGTTCCCTAAAGGTGAGGTGCCTGTGGGCCCCCAAGGCTGCCCCCCAGGAACCCTCAGAACAGATGCTGTTTTCTGAGCTCCCGGTCAGGTCAGACGCCACAGCTGCTGAGTCCCCAGGCCCTGCCGGCTCCCCTTCCGGGCCGGCCCTTCTACAGGACCCCAGGCCCTGGGGATGTCCCCACTCTGGGTGGTGACCGGTTTCAGGATAGGTTCAAGTTCTCTGTCCCCACGGTGATACACCAGGAAATCCCCGCGGCTACGGGAGTCACAGTGTAGGACG